AAATACAATTTTGGGACACTGACTCCGAGGGCCAGTTGATTTTCAGAGGGCCCTCTTTGAGGTGTATGTGAGGGCCCTCTGTTCGCCTCAGGGGGCCCTCTGGTGGCTTCAAACTTCAGAGGACCCTATTTTGGCATCAGAGCCGAGGGCGCCTCTCTGTGACATCAGAGGGCCCTCGGCTGCCTCAAATGGCCCTATTACATCTCAGAGAGCTGTCTTTGACCTCAGAGGGGTCTTTTTTACTTCTTTATGGTGTCTAAGGGGCCCCTCTGGCCTTTGTTTGCCTCAAGGGGCCTCAAGGGGTCCTCCGATGGCTTCCAAGGACCCTCTTTGATCTCAGAGGGCCTGATGACCTCATAGGGCTCATGATGGTCTGACATAGCCTCATAGCACCTCAGAAGGCCCTCCAGTGGCCTCAGAGGGCGCTTTGTGGCATTTGAAGGCCCTCCATTCGCCTTAGAGGACCCTCTTTGATCTCTTTGATCTCTTCGACCTCAGAGGGCCCTCTTTGAGGCGGCTGAGAGGGCCCTTTGTTCACCTCAGAGGGCCCTCCGGTGACCTCCAGGGACTATCTTTGATATAAGAGGGCCGTCTGGTGGCCTCATAGGACACCTTGTGGCCTGAAATTGACCTTGGTACCTCAGAGGGCCTTCTGTTAGTCTTAAGGGGCCCTCTGCTGGTCTTAGCGGGCCCTTTGTGTGTCTGGGAGGCCCCCCTGAGTGCCTGAGAGGGCCCTCTGTGTTTGAGAGGGCCCTCTGTGTGCCTGAAAGGGCCCTCTGTGTACCTGAGAGGGCCCTCTGTTTGCCTGAGAGGGCCCTCTGTTTGCCTGAGAGGGCCCTCTGTTTGCCTGAGAGGGCCTCTGTGTGCCTGAGAGGGCCCTATGTGTGCCTGAGAGGGCCCTCTGTGTGCCTGAAAGGGCCTCTGTGTGTCTCAGAGGACCCTCTGTGAGCCTGAGAGGGCCCTCTGTGTACCTGAGAGGGCCCTCTGTGTGCCTGAGAGGGCGCTCTGTGTACCTGAGAGGGCCCTCTGTGTGCCTGAGAGGGCCCTCTGTGTGCCTGAAAGGGCACTCTGCGTGTCTCAGAGGCACAGTGATGCAAATGGGGTTCACGAGTGGCCATAAATACGAAAAAGGCCCAAAATTCAAGTTCACTTAATCGAATAAATCGTGATATGGTCAGTCAGGCAAATGTTTCGGGTGTCTGAAAAAGTATTATTTTAATGTTGTTGTCAAAACCGGCCTCGTGTAGGATTGTCAGAAGTCGAGACATTTTCGATGTCGTAAAATGACTATCAGGTACTTGAAATTCAAGTGCCGCTAACGTGCGTTTATGTCATACAAACTGCAAAAATTATACATGAAAATGATCCTCGAAACCTGCTGCTTCTAATGCCAGATCATAAACAGCCGTATCTATTTTGGTTTGGCGGTGAGCTAACTATTTGTAATCATGTTACACCGCAGTTTTTTACCAAACATATTTGCTTTCAATTCACCTACAGCACTTCACACAGTGTGTGCCCGTTAGTGCACCATATCATAGCATTCCCTAATCATTTCTGAGTCGCATCGTGAAAGAATTAAGGCGCTAGCACAGGGCTGACCGGCGCTACAGAAGTTTTCGTCCGGCACGTTCGGGTGCCGCGGCGCAGCGGGCGGCCCGGGCGGCCGCGCCGCCGCGCGCCGCCCGGACGCCGCGCGGCGGCAACCACCCGCCCACCTCGCGCCCACTGCGGCACCCGACCGCCCGGACAAAAACCTCTGTGGCGCCGGTCAGCCCTGTGCTAGCGCCTTAATTCTTTCACGATGCGACTCAGAAATAATTAGGGAAGGCTATGGTATGGTGGACTAACGGGCACACACTGTGTTAAGTGCTGTAGGTGAAACGAAAGCAGTTTTTTCTTAGTAAAAAACTGCGATTGCAACATGATGATATATCGTCAGATTACCGCCAAAGCGAATGAGATACGGCTTTTTGTGACCCGGCATTAGAAGCAGAAGGCTTTGAGGATCATTCCCATGCATAATTTTTTTCAATTTGTACGAAATGAACGCAAACCAGCGGCGTTTGAATTTGCGAGTGTCTGACCGTCATTTTACGACCTCGAAAATGTCACGACTTCTGACGATTATACACGAGGCCGGTTTTGACAAAAACATGAAAACCATGTGATTTCAGATGACCCAAACATTTTTCTACTCGGCCATATCGCAATTAACTCGATTTGGTAAACTTGACTTTTGGGTATTTATGGCCACTCGTGAACCCCATTTGCATCACTGTGAGAGGGCCCTCTGTGTACCTGAGAGGGCCCTGTGTGTTTGAGAGGGCCCTCTGTGTGCCTGAAAGGGCCCTCTCTGTACCTGAGAGGGCCCCCTGTTTGTCTGAGAGGGCCCTCTGTGTGCCTGAGAGGGCCCTATGTGTACCTGAGAAGTGAGAGGGCCCTCTGTTTGCCTGAGAGGTCCCTCTGTGTGCCTGAAAGGGCCCTCTGTGTGCCTGAAAGGGCCCTCTGTGTGCCTGAAAGGGCCTCTGTGTGTCTCAGAGGACCCTCTGTGAGCCTGAGAAGGCCCTCTGTGTGCCTGAGAGGGCCCTCTGTGTGCCTGAGAGGGCCCTCTGTGTACCTGAGAGGGCCCTCTGTGTGCCTGAGAGGGCCCTCTATGTGCCTGAAAGGGCGCTCTGTGTGTCTCAGAGGGCCCTCTGTGTACCTGAGAGGGCCCTGTGTGTTTGAGAGGGCCCTCTGTGTGCCTGAAAGGGTCCTCTCTGTACCTGAGAGGGCCCTCTGTTTGCCTGAGAGGGCCCTCTGTGTGCCTGAGAGGGCCCTCTGTGTGTCTGAGAGGGCCCTATGTGTGCCTGAGAGGGCCCTTTGTGTGTCTCAGAGGGCCTTTGTGTGCCTGAGAGGGCCCCTTGTGTGCCTGAGACGGCCCTCTGTGTGCCTGAAAGGGCCCTCTGTGTACCTGAGAGGGCCCTCTGTTTACTTCACAAGGCCCCTCATTGGCCTAAAGGTGTCCTCTTATAGTCCTCAGGGGGTCCCTAAAAGAGTTCTACAATACTTTTTCTTTTTGCGAATAAAATGGGAAGTGGTCAAAAGGGCCCTTGAAGTCATTTCAATTTTTTCGTGTTATAAAAAAAAAAAACGTTTTGTCTAGGCTCCAGGGGGGATCCTAGGACCCCCAGGGTCCCCCCTTGGATACGCCACTGACCTCACGGGTGCCAGTTGCTGCTGACATCTCCAGCAGTGCCTCTGCAGCTCTGGCCTCTTCAATGCTGACCTGCAAGATAACAAAAAGTAGGCATTGTTATCAACAAAATAGAGATAGTTACCTACTTCTTGGTGCCAGGAAAACTGGTTGAACTGGTAGGTACCTAAGTAGCCAATGTTTGTAGCTCACCTGAGACACTGGTTCTTCGGCTGTACACATTTCATCTTGATCTCCAGATGAAGCCGACAGGTGGAGAGACGCATGCTGTTTCTGAGCTGATCTTTGTTGGGCCCTTTCTGCTCTCTTCACTCCGCCGATCCCAACGTTGCTGGCATGCTGAGATGACGGGAAGTTGAAGACACTTGGTACCCAGTCAGGACTCCCTTTCTCACTGACTGGTGCCCCTGTAATTGAATAAATATATCAAAATTTGTCTAGGTGGTGGATCAACTTTCACTCACAAACCATAGACAATATGTTTGATAGCCTGAGATGCCATGCAAAAATATTGTGGCATTTTGACTCCACAATTATGTATGACGTAGAAATGACATTCATATTAAACATGTACACAGTTTTTTTTTAACTAGGTACTCACCAGTGATAAAATGCTTAGAGCATATCCTTGCCCCAGCGCCGGGCACAAAGTTTTTCCTCCTGGTAGCACGTACCCAAGCATTCAACCGGTCATTATCTTTGGGGAACCGATAAAAAGACACCTTATCTTTTCCAGAGCGAGAAGTGCAACCATAAGCAGCACAAGAAGTCGGCATTTTTCACGATAAAACGTGATTAACCTCCACCATCCTCTCGAATTCCCGCCGCACCCTATAGTGGCGCAACGCCTACCACGGAATGTTTTGCCTACCAGCAGCTGACTGCGCCCGGCGGCATTTTCCGTGACGTCATCCACCGGCCTCCGTGGAGGCCTCTATAAGAAACAGCAAAATAACCTGTAAACAAAAAACTAGACATCTTCGGCGCAGCTGCTTCGAGCAAAGCATAAAAAGCAGCTAGTAAATTAAATATAATGTCCATCACCTCAAAATAGAGTCTCAAACTTTACAGAAAAGAGGAAAAAGTCAAATGAAGTTCATTTTTCTGATTTTGATGATAAAAAATTTAATATTTTATCTTTGAAACGGTTAAAAATCGCCTCAATGCTTACCATTTCTCATCGAAACTCTTTCATTTATCTTATTTCCTGGCAAATTTTATTTTGTTATTTCTTTCGCTTTTCATATTTTGGTAACAATAGTCAGAAATGTGTAAAAAGGAATTTTAAGAAGAGAAACTTATCTATATATCATGGTTACATACGAACTAATCATAAAATGAAACCGAGCTTGATTAGATTCATAGGCGTCGTCAGTTACGAGAAATGGGAGGTTGTTCCTCAGGCATTACCTAAACGGGTGTTATGAGGTGTACAAGGGCGTTTAAATGGTGTAACTCAGTGGTTGCTTCAGTAAATAAGTGAAACACTCTGATTGTGAATTATTTTTTATTTAAAAACCATATTGGATGACGGAGAATTCCCCACAATACAACTACGCTCGAATCCGCCATTGAAACAAAACAAGAAGATCACCTCTGGTGTGTGTGTGTGAGAGGTTAGCTTTGGGTTTTGTTTTTAATTATGATGGCTCTCGGTGGTGTTGAAGTGCACCGGTAATGTGCTGGAACTGTGTTCATCATTCCTCGATTTAGCGTACCTATAAGTTAACGCTACAACTGATGAGCCAGTGTGATGGAAAAAGATGTGAGGCAAAGGAATCGGCGTCGTGCCCGAGCACAGCGTATGAAGGCTGTAGGTGAGAAAAAATGTGAAAACGGAAACGAAACTGGGGACGATGAGGTGGGAGTGCTGGAAAAACCTCAGAGACCTATTCATCGGCGAAGAAAGCTTCGCGAACCTCTGTATGAAGAAGATATCATTGATGGATTCGCAATAGCATCCTTCAAAACTTACAGTGATTTGGAGGTGAGTCAAATCATTTTATATCATTGCTCCTCTCAATCTGAATTCCATATCAACATCATTCCCATGCTGATGCTTCTATTTGCTGCTTCATGATGCTGCTTCCTTACCATTTCTGCTGCTGATCCGTGACTGAGGAATGCTCGTCATCATTGGCTGCACAGTTTTCTTATTAACCTAATTTGATCCAGTGGTGGCAGAACACCTTCAATTAAAGGGGGTCACTGCCCACTTTTTGTCCAATTCTGATTATTATTTTCATGCAATGCCCATAGGGCTAGTGTTAAAATGCCAAAATCAAAGGGGGCCAGGGCACAGTGCCCTGGTGCCCCCCCCCCCCCCATTTGATCTAAGTTGAAATGCAGAATATCCACCATGTGTTTGCTTCCTAATGCAGGAACTATGAGTTTTATACTTGCCTTGAGGGATCTACCTTCTTTTTTATTGTAATGGTGTGTTACAACTCAAGTGATGTACCTATGTTCTCTTGAAGTTTTGGCTACCATCTCTCAGTAACTTTTTCAGCCTTTAGATGCTGTTATCAGCTTTAAGCCGATCCAAGTTTTTGAGGAAATGAAAGATAATGATATGCATTTTGTGACCATCAAGATACCTTGTTTTTCCTTCCTGACTATGTGAGATATGGCTAGTATGGTTTTCAATATTTGGGCAGGTAGCCATTGACATTGCAATGGAAAGATTTAATGCTAAGTTTCTGATCAGTACTTAATGGTCAAAGGTGACATGTTTCAGCAAACTCTCAATTACCTTTCTTAGCCTCAAGTTTGAGCCTCCCCAACTTCCATTTATATCCACTTGTACAATTTAGGTGCACCCTAGGTACATACTTGCTACACACTCACATGTAATTGCTTCCCCTGGGCTGTTGTTACCCCTAAGAATTGCCATTTAGTAGCAGTTAGGTACTTAACATGGTTATTGGTTATGCCCAACAGCATGCTACATTGATATGCTGGGAAACCAACCCCAGTGTCTTGGGATGTTGTTTGGGTTTCCAATGCATGATTCAATAAAACTTTCTTCTACTGCCTTGCTAGCTTCTTAACTGCTGTCTCTTATCCTCTTTGTGACACCCTTGTCTGGTCTGACCGTCTCATTTGTCAGTCCAGCCTTGCTGGGAAGGTTTGCTTATTTTGGGCTCAGTAACATCATTCTTGCATTGAAATGGTGGTTGGCTTTTCTTGATGATGAGCTCAATAAGATTTGTCAAAAGTGAGTGAGTCATTTACCCTTTGGTGTGAGGTGATGTTATGGCAAATTGTGATATCCTGAACTTTGTGATCTCTCTGTTCATTGGTGACTCTTTGACCGTTGCTTGTGCTTCCAAGAGGGTTTCAGGTTACTTCAGTGGCTCCATCACAATGCTACGAGTGACGAGGGCTCGCCAGTCCATCCCCTTGTTATAGGTGTGACAGGTCCGTCCGTCAGTCCGTCCCACTCACTGTTGTGCGACGGTTCAGTCAGTTCGCATTCCGTTCCCCGAAATGTGACAGATCCGTCATTCTGTCCCGCTGGTATATTTGTGTGATCCATCAGTCCAGTCCGACGCACCGGGCACCGGTACCTACGGGTCTCGAGTTCGCGAGTCTGTTCCACCGGAAAGCGTCCCGTGTCCGCCAGTCCATTCCACCGATAGTGCCTCAAGTCAGTCCAGTCCGTCCCGCCGACACCCGTCTCGGGTCCACCAGTACCTGTCTCGGGTCCGCCAGTCCGTCCTATTGACACGTGTCTCGGGAGTCCATCCCACCAGTACGTGTCTCGGGTCCACCAGTACCTGTCTGGGGTCCGCCAGTCCGTCCCATTGACATGTGTCTCGGGTCTGTCAGTCTGTCCCACCAGTACATATCTCGGGTCCACCAGTCCGTCCCATCGCGTGCCGTCTCGTCGTTCCGGCGTCACAACTCGCCGCCGTCTCGCCGTCCGACACACACATTAAATCGCCATTAGCAGGTGTCGGCGATGACGATGCAGACATTATCCCCCGTGGTGGCGTGTTCCGGCGAACCGCCTGATTCCTGTGGCCGCGGACTAATTCTGCCCACCCACGCCAACTTGTGTGCAGTCTGTGCCGGCTGTGTGGGCCGTCGGTCGGCTTTGGTCAGCTTGGGACGGCATGGGGTTGAGTGACCCCCTCCCTCACGGAGATGACTACAGGATAGCTGAACTCTGAAGGCAATCGTTTGACGAAAATTGTGTCAATCATGGCAAGCGTGTTGGTTTCAAATGTCTGAGATGTGTTTACGACTGGGTTCTTCGAATTTTGTCTCGTTATAAAGTTGTTTTGCTCGAGTTGGAGTCACTAAAATTCAGCTCAGGCGTCCCTGCCGAATGTCGATGTCGGTGACTGATGTCCCGGTGCGGGGTGGACAGACCAGGTCCGCGTCTCGCCACGTCCGGTGTGGGCGGCCTTCGGTGCACCGGTCCGCTCCGGCGGGATGAATGGCGTGAGGCGACGGCCTTGGAGGCCGAGCGACACCGCCGACCGGGTCACCGACCCGAACACCGCGCCGACGGCGGCGACCGGGGGTCGACGGCAGACTGCAGGTCGACGGCAGGCTGCTGGTCGACGGCGACCGCGGGTCGACGGCAGACTGCTGGCCTCCGACGGACCGACGGCCGACGGGGGTCGGAACGGCAGGCTGCCGGCCTCCGTCGGCAGACTGCTGGCCTCCCACAGGTCGACAGGAGACCGACGGCCGACGGACGGATGGACCAACGACGGGCGCTGGAACGGCGGCTGGCTGGTGTTGGATCGTCGAGTCATCAACCCGCTCTCTTCCTGGAGTCGGTGTTATCCTCCTGAAATTGACCGGAAATATGTTGATAAAGGGAACTCACCTACCCGGAACTTGGAGGGATTGACCTGGGATAGAGTCGAAACCGTGACATATTGACATGAAACCGCTCGAAACCATCTGACTGCTTTGCAACCCACCTGAAACCGACCCGGAATCAGGACCCCCACCCGGGACTCCCACTGGGATCGTGACTCGTGGTTATCAATCCATTCGCTGGAGAGGTGCTCCTCAGCTCAGTGTCAAGTGGATGTTAGTCGGCCGAGGCGCTCCTTTATCTCAAGTAGTTGATTCTGAGATCCGCGCCTCGAGTGCGGACACAGCGGCTGGCTGAAGCTCGTAAATGCGGGATTAGCCGATAGGATTTCTACCACTGATGACATTATTGAGGGGTCTATTCAGCGATCGCCGTTGTCCGGTGCCGATAACCGCTCAGCAGAGGGCTGGGTTGTGATTAGTTGGTGGGCGTCTCCCGTGCGCCGGCCGGCGCGAGGTATGTGACCGGGCGAGGCGATGGGCACGGCGGTATGAGACGCGGCTGTCCAGGAATTCCATGCCGGACATAACTGCCACGCCGAACGGACGCCGCCGCCGCGTGGGCCGAATGACGACCCGACGCCCGGCGCGGTGTCATGACACCGGTGTCGTGTCGTGTCGTGTCGTGTCGTGTCGTGTCGTTCTCCGTCATGGCCGTCAGTCGCCCGTGCTGCCGTGCTGGCTGGGAGCCGCCGTGGCTCTCTGAGGCCCGCCACCGGTGTCGTGCTCCGACGGCCGCAATGCATGCCAAGTGCGCGTCCGCCGCCCGCCCGCAGGGAGCGAGGGAGTTATGTGCGCTGCCGTCACGGAGCGGAGCCGAAGCCGACGCCGGCACGACAGAGGTGCAAACCGGCAGAATAGAAGTGCAGACCGGCACGACAGTGGTGCGATTAGAGGTGCAAATTGCCGCCGGCGGGCTCTCAGCGCCGCCGCAGTGGGTGTGTTTCAAACCGGACAAGCTGCATGCTGGGAGAAGGTCGGTCGGCTGGTTTGTTGGTATGCAAATTGCGGATGTTGAGCCGGAGCTACGATCAGGGCTGGGTCTAACACGCCGGAAAGATATCACCTGGTGTCAGTGTGGGTGGGGACTGGGGAGTGTGGCTGCGATTTAGCGGGCTGTGATTACGATGACTCTGAACCCACGGCCGTTCTCGTGTTTTGTTATCGCTCTATTTCGCACGTAAATGTCTGCTCTCATCCGGTCTGCCTCGCGCCTTCTCCACCCCAATTACCTGCTCTGCCCGTCATCATAATGCTTTTGGATATGCCCGTCTGGATATGTACCCGTGTGTGAACACTCCTCTGACACTGTCGTATGTCTTTCCGCTGACCCTCTCCGACCCGCTCCCCGTGTCCGACAGCGGCTGGTGACTCTCATATCTATCCTATGACTCTTACCGGCTGTGACTCTTCGCTGACTCTCGGTTAATCTCCGCCCCATATTCCGATATTACGACTCTCATCTACCTCTCCCGTTTTCCGACAGCGGGCGGTGAGACAGGCGGAGCGGCGAGGTCTGAAGACGCTGGAGCCGCTGCCGCCGCCCGGATCGACACCGGCCACCGTCCGGCGCCGCCGGAAGAGCAGCGACGGACGCACCCAGGTACTGTCTCGTAATGGGGACCCACCCCGGGCCTTGCTGCCAGTGTGAGGTCTAACGATTGGAGCCCTGGGCTGTAGGAACCTCGGTTCAGCGTTTGATGCATACCGATGTCCTGACTCGAGCGGGGCGGCCACAGCGGGCCTGGTTCCCGACACGAATTCCCCGGGGAATGTAAACGCTTGTTTTCCTGCCAAAACAGTGGTGTTTCCCTTCGTTTTCTGGCGGGACTGAACTGCTGCTCTGTCCCGTGTAAACAACGGGAAACGCCACATATCATCCCTCGCGTGGTGAACGTTTTATTGTGGCCAGAGCCGTCCCTGTATTGGAGACCGACGTGTGGTCCGTGGCACTGTAATCATCTTTTGTTTGGTAGCACCAAGGTATTGAAATGCTGCAACCTAGAAACAGTTGTGCTTCGTTCAGGTGTTGACTGTTGAGTTATATTTGGTTATTGCTGCGTTTTTGTTCTGTTTTCCTTTGTTTGTGCTGAGCGATAAGTATACTGACTGTTCCAACATTTGCTTCCATTCGCTGCTATGTTATGTTACTGTTGTGGTGTTGCAGTGTTTGTTTCCAGTCCCCGCTTTGTTACTGCCCAGGTGTTGCAGTGTTTGTTTCCAGTACCCACTATGCTACAGCGCAGGTGTTGCAGTGTTTGTTTTCAGCCCGCTGTGTTACTGTCCAGGACGTGTCGCGGTGTTTGTTTTCAGCCCGCTGTGTTACTGTCCAGGTGTTACAGTGTTTGTGGCCAGTCTCAGCTGTTACTGTTCAAATGTTTCAGTGTTTGTTTCCAGTCACAACTGTTACTGTCCAGTGTCCAGCTGGTGTCCAGGCTGTCTTGTGTTGACGTCTGTCCGCGCCCGTCATGGGAAAACCCTCCAATCTGGTGCGCCGAAATGCTCGGCTCCGAACTTTTACAACCGAAACTGCTAACCAATTCCCAGGCAGACCAGATTGTCAAAGCCACACGCGACACCGGTTTCGTGAAAAGAAACGGCGCTGACACGGGTAATCGCTGTCAAATGCCGGCATGAAAAGGCGTTCTACACGCGGTGAAATCCGCCGGAGCGCTGTCGGCGTTATCGGCTTGTGCGACAAGCCTTGTCGTGTCGTCGGCACTTTTGTCGACGAGGCGTGTCATGTTGTCGGACCGGCGTGTGCCGTTGCTTTAGGTCAGGGCATGATAATCCCTGCCTCCTCGGCTCAGCCACGGGCCGGGGGAGGAGGGGGGGGGGGGGCGCCCTGATCTACCCCCGCCCCCGACTGACGACCCGCCGGCGGTCGGTCGGTCGCTGTCGTCGGTCGGTCGGTCGGTCGCGGAGGGCTGGCGCTGCCGCTGCTGTCGGCACCGATAAGCCGCGCCGGCCGTCGCTCGGAGGATAAGCTGTCGTGTTGTCATGTCACACGCCACCACTTACCGGGTACAATTAATACGGCAACACGACGGTGCGTCAGGCGACCGGCCGGCCCGGCGACTGGCCAGGGTGGACGGAGGGCTTGTGGCTGCGGTGGACGGTGGGGTCTGGGGCCATGGTGGACGCCGGACGGTAGACGTTTGTTAGAGGGAACGGTGGGTTTTAACTTCTGTAGCTGTATGACGAGAGGCATGTGGAGTGGAGTGCGGACGGTGCGGAATCTTGGTAGGCTGTGGGATTGGGTTATGTGGCTATGGAAAGTGGGGAAGTGTGGCCATGGCTCACGTTAGGAAGGGATGGGGTCGAATCACCCGAGCGTTACAGTTTACGGGTGCAACCGCGGCGCACACATCGGCCCTCAGTGGCTAAGTTGAGACTGCAGGCCTAGGAGGTCCTGTTGAGTCCCTATGGAGGCCGTTAGGAGGCCTTATGGAGCTCCTGAGGAGGTCGCATGGAGGCCCTATGTCGGCTGTACGGAGTTCGTGCGGTGCACTGCCAGTGTCGGTGCAGCTGGTGGCGCTCAGTGCACCAGCCACCCTGCCAAGTGGTGTGTATTTCGGTCCGTGCCGCCGCCCTCCCCCCCCCCCCTCCCACCCCCGTCCGTCCAGGCGGGGCCCGGTGCTGGTGCCGGTCCCCCGCCGGTACTACTCTCAGCAGTACCGGCTGCCGCTGGGATTCATTGTCTGGTGGCTGTGTTATCGCTGCTGTTGATTCGCTATGAAATTTCGACACTCATTATCATGGCGAGCAGAAGCTATCTGATTTAAGCTAATCAAAGATAATTCGAGTATCACCTCGCCCCGGTGACACAGGCTGCAGGTGGGAACAGCTATCGAATCGAGCGGCTCTCAGTCTGTTCGTGTGCCCGAATTGTTTTGACAGGCTGGATGTGACATATAGGTATGTCTTGTTTAACTTGTTCATTTGGCACTTACTGTGAGTTAGGTATATAATAATGTGTAGGCGTGTTTCCTCTGCTTGCCAGTACCTTGTTCAATGTTTGAGATTTATTGGGCTCCGCATGAAGTTGATGATGATAAGCTAGGATGGGGTAAAGTACTTTTTAATTTGCAGGAGCAGGCTTATCTTTTATGTAGAGTGCATTCGGCCGTGTTATCCAAAGTTATTACAGCATGAATCATAAGATCCACGCTTCAAAAGTTTATTTTAATCTGCGTACTAAGTAGTGGACCGTCTTGAATATCTTCATTGATGCATCTCCAGTAAGCAGAATCATTTGAATAGAACAACAAGCCATGCATTCATAAAACATGAACCGAGTAGGTATTGTTGATAGAACAATCTGAAAAGGATACCTATATGCATTAGGGACAAGGGTCATGTATTAATTTACCATCGTAAGTTAGCAGTTTGTAGACAGTTTGCAGGCATGCAAATTGGCACTAATGGGACAATAGGGACATCATAAACGCATATGAAGTATGGGCATAACTACGAGTCACCGTCTGCCCTCTATCCTCGGCACATGATCCGTCCCAGGGTGACTCTCCGCTGCCTGTCGATCACTCCGATCGCTGGTTTGAACACCTACCTTCTGTGGAGGGCCGCGGTTGGGTCGGCCGGGGACCCCACAGGTGTGCCGCTCTGACCGTGGGTAGAAGTGGGTCAGATGGGCTCTGACAGACTGTTTCAGTAGTGTCAGTGTCTGTATGTGTGATATATTTTTTCTGGTTGTGCGAGTGCTTAATAGGTATGTCATTGTTGGAACTCTGCATTGTTGTGCTTTTGCGGGTACTTTTCCGTCTGCCTGTGTGTTCTGTGTTAGGACCAGCGTGATTGTGACTATAAGTTTCAGCCGTCCGCTACGTTAACTTGCGTGATATTTTGTGCTGCATTATTTTTTTATAGTGCCACAGTTCTTTTTAGCAGCATGTCACCCCCGATGCTAACTCATGCCGTTCTCGTCTGTTTTCAGGGCGGAGGGCACAGCTCCGGCGATGGCTACTTCGTAAGTCTCCACCGACCGACTGTGCCGCTACTGGTCCGCAGACAGTATATACGGATCATAGAGCTCACGTCACCCGTCACAGGTATCCAGCTTATTCAGCTTTGCTAGGCCGAATAAGTTGGATACTCGCGCTAGTCTCTGAATTGGCCAAAGGCCATGCATGAGGTGATGACTGCATACATGAGAGTGGGGTCATGTCCAATGTCCATGTAGGCAGACTTTTCAAAGTTTTTGTGGTTGAAGCCGCTGAAATTGCTGTGAAGCCGTTTGCGATTTTGATATTGCTGTGCATTTTGAAGACGCACATTGTTCTCAATGTTCGTGTCGGTACTCAATGTGACCCGTGTCGGTGCCACTACTTTTCCTCCCGACTCCCGACTCCTCTCCCGCCGAACTCTTCCAGGCCGATCCGACAGGGCTCCTCTCCTCCCGCCGGAGAGGCCGCTCCGATCCCACGGATGCCGCTCCTGTTATCTACCGAAGGTAAAGTCCGTGTCCTCCTCCAGCGAACAGTTAGCCCCTCTATCCTTTTGCTTCATTTGGTTTCAAGGTAGATCAACAGTTGACGCGTCACTACCACTGATTTTCATCCTTTTATGGGCTAACTACAAGCGAATTGTGCTGTATATGCTGATCTGTAGTTGGTCTGTGACGATGATAAGAATTTATGAAACCTCAGTAGCGTTTCTCATTTAATGACCGTAGAGACCCTTTTCTTCCGTATCTTGACACTAGCATTTCATCACACTGTTTCTCGCTTCCTCACGCTTCCAGTGCTGGCATAAGATCCGGTTGCAGATTGGTCCCATTCTGTCATCTGTCTCGCCTCTAAACTCCAAATCAGCGACTGCCCGCACCTGTATCCCCTCCATCCCATACCGACGGCTGCTCTCAACTCTGTTCTATACTGACCGTCGTCCCCGCCTGTTTCAGTGCGACCACAGTGCCAGCGACGACGGAAAGGTACGTCAAAGTGTGCAAAACGCACGGTGTGTTGTATGTTTCCCGCGGGGTGTGCTGACAAAGGCAGGTTTATTTATGTGTTCTGGTCAGCTTTGATAGCCACCAGTGACAATACCAAAATGACCTCACACTCTGATACTGTCCTGTTATAAAAAGCTCTCCATCTCGGGCATCTGTTAATAGGCGCCCTTGAAGTCGTCGCTCGGTGGCGCTTTGTTGGCCTCCCATTTGTCCGTTTTTGTGATTGTGAGCGGATTTTGTCCAGCGTGCGGTCTGCAGTCACATAAAGTTTTTACGGCCGGCCGCGGGTGACGGCGGCCTCGGCGGCGCCCTCACAGGCTGTTACAGCGGGCTCCGACGGCGGCCCAGGCGGCCCGCCCGGTCCCTGTCCTCTCGTGCCGACCGTGCCGGCGCGGCCCGGCGAGCGGTCGGCTTGTAGTCGGCGTGCGCGCCCCTAAACACGCCACTTTACCGCCTGTTTTTGTAAACGATGAAACAACCTAATTAGCGTTTGTTCTGGGTTCATTTTCGTTTGAAACTCGCAAACTTGGCCGATGGCAATTCCAAAGTTCGGACGGTGTTTGGTTCGGAGCAGTCGGCGGTGGTCGGGTAGTTGGCGGAGTTGCCGCCTGGCGGCGCTGCCGTCGCGTCGTTTGGGTTCCCTTTACGAGCCGTCGTCAGTTCGGGCCGAGTGCGCCGTGTTTCTGGACGTGCGGTTCGGTGCACTGCCGTGTCGCTGTGGATTCCGTGTGTCGTTGCCGTTCCGTGTCGGTATCAGCGGGAGCGTCGGCCCTCCGTCGTCAGCCTGACAGCGTTGGCCGTGCTTCGGCTGTGGAAAAGAGATCCAGCTCAGTGTCGCTGCGCTGGAGACCAGAAGCAACCCCAGTCTCTCTGCGTTTGAGAGGAATTGGTGACCAAAGCCCGTCTCAGTCACTCTGTGTGTGAGATCGTCTGCCGACTTGCGACTGGAATAATTCGTCTCAGTCGCTCTGCGGTGCTGGAGATCAGAAGCCTTCTCAGTCTGTCAATGAGAGTAGCCGGCGCCTAGAAGCCGTTTCTCCGTCTCTGTCTGTGTGAGAGGGTGACTGGTGACCGCTGACGGTGGAGTGGTGAGCGCTACGGCGCTGCTCTGTGACCGGTCCGACGCCGCGGCAGTCGCCACCACGGGGTCTCTGGAGCTGACCAAGGTGAGACCGGACGGAGACTGCGCAGGGCTTCAGTGCCGAAATACTCATGAAGTTAAACGTGCGGCTGGGCGCTGGTCATGTTCGCTAGAGTGTATATTGCGAGGTTATGTTTTATGGCTTGGGTGATAAGCTGCTGTATAGGCTGTAGGCGAAGAGCTCCGCCTGAAGTTCGTGGCACGGGAGGTTGGTGACCAGAAGCCTCGGCGATGCCCGCTATGCTGTTCCCTGCAGTGTTGTAATCCCCGCTTTGCCGATTAACTTCAGAGCGACAAACTCTGTGGTTGCGGCTACTGACACCCGGTGATCTGGGTATTATCCATTGTGATGATAGCATGGAAGTGGTGTTTGTTTTTTAGGGTGGCGGATGACAGCGCGGAAAACAAATATCTCATCAGTCGCTGGTCTCTGCCTCTGCCGCTGTTACTGGGCTCAATCGGTGTCCTCTGTTGCTGGTATCTGTCTCTGGTCTCTGACGCTGGACTCTACCGCTGGTCTTTGCCGGCATTCCGTTTCTGCAGCTGCCTGCGACTGCTACCGGCCGGGGCCGCCACCTTGGGCCTGCCGTGACGGCTCCGTTCCGTGCCGCGGCGCGGCGGCGGCGACGGTTACGGCCGTTTTATGTGCCGTTGTCATGTCGCCGCGCTGTTAGCCGGCCGCACGAGGGCCGCAGCCACTAACTGATGGCCGGCATTAGGCAGCCGCGCCGGCGGAAGGGCCTCCTTGGGCCATGGGCTGCCGCGCCGCCGGACGGCCGGGCTGGCTCCACACCGACCATCAGCGGCGTCCGGCGGCCCGCCCCTGAACCGCCTCTGGGAACCGCTCCGGTACCCGCAGCGCCGGCACTGGAACCGGCCCGGTACCCGGTACCGACACAGGTCCATTGACACCTCTCGGAACCACTCCGAGTAAACCGGAGCCAGAGAACAGCTTTCTTTCACCACAGCGGGAACGTCGAGAGCTCCTGAGACTGCTGAGATGTGTTTGTGACTTCCACCCACAGCCTGTATGTGCTCTGGCTTCTGAATGGTTAACTGTCTGTGAGTGTCTCCCTGTAATCGGCTCCCTGTGCGTCTGTGCGCGGCCCGCACCCCCGCTGACCCTTGTGACGTCAGCGAGCGGTGCCGGCCGGCGGCAGGCACTGCGGTCGCGGCGGCCCCTTACTTGGCGGCGGCGCGCTGTCACGGCCAGGATTTGCATGCAGCACGGCGGCGGGGGCGGCGGTGCTCCATTCGGGCCACGTCCCGCCGTACGTCCTCGGTGGGCGCCGGCGCGGTATTGAGCGCTCCATCTGCCGCGCCGCCGGCCGCCGCAGCCCGCCCGCCCGGTCGGCCAGTCGGTCGGCCCCGCTCCTCTGCACCCCCTGCCCTGTCCCCCCGACCCCCCTACCTCCTCCCGGCACCGTCAGGCGGCGGTCGGACGACCACAAAACTCACATATCACCCCACAACTTATCTTTTTATGACGGAATAAAGGGTTTGATGTGGGCGATAAACTGGATAGATCCATAAAACGGCATTGATTTTATCGTGGTCGGGAATCCGCGGCGAGTAATGGGGGCGTAAAGGCGCGCCTGCTACTCTGCCAGAGATGTCGGCTAAATGAACTGGTCATGTTAACCGAGCATCAATCGGAATGGCGCCGCCGCAGTGCGAGCTGTTTCGTGTCGTTGGCTTCTGTGTCATGTCGGTGTCATGACTAGGTCGACCTATGTCATGCCGGGTATGTCGTTACAATTCCTTGCCATCGGAGGTGTGGTTCCTTCAGCGCCATACCGTTCCGTGTGGCACTGGCATTCTGTGCCAGATCGGCCTGCACTGTGTCGTGCCGCACGACTTCTCATACCGTGCGGTACTACGTCTTACGTCGTGCCGTACTGTGCCGTGCCGTGCGGTATTGTGCCGTACCATGCCGTTCTGCGCCGCCCCTCGGCTCCCCCGTGCGCCACAGACTCCTCGCTATGGCCGACGCCGTCCGCGGCGAGTGGCCAGAGGCTCGCCTAACGACGTCCCTGATTGCATGTGAATCACACATGAGAGCTTCTCATCTGCGCTTTACGGCGCGCCGGCTATGATGGGCCGTTACGGGCGGTCTAACGCCGTCGTTCGGTGGTCGTGCGGCGCCGGAGCCGCCGCCGGCTGACAAAGAGCGTCCCGGCGCCGCCGGCCACGGCCTGCAAGGAGGCGGGGCAGGCGGAGCAGTGGGAGAGGTGCGGGGCGGGGCTGTATATCGGTTGGTTTGTTGGATATGTTGGTGATTCGCCTCAACTGGCGAAACCTCTCAACTGGAGAGGTTTTGATCTATGTAGAATATTGATTGTGGAAAGGTTTAATTTTAATCTACGCCGTCTGGTATGCTACCGATAGTGGTTGGTGTCTTGTCAGTGCTACCTGCCTATGCTGCCTGCATCGGAGGGGGGGGGGTCTGTGCTGCCGACAGTAGGCAGTAGGCACGGACACTGGGCAGAGGTGTCTGCCCAGTGTCCACTGTCCATGCCCCAGCCGGGTCTGCGGCACCTGGTGTCTCTCGTCTGTGCCTGCTCTGTCTGTCGCTCGGCGGGCAGCTGCCGCCGTCGGTCCCCGCCGCTCGCTGCCGGCGGCTGCCCACAGCCCGCCGACGACCATCGCTCGGCGGGCAGCTGCCGCTGTCAGTTCCTACCGCTCGCTGCCGGCGGCTGCCCACAGCCCGCCGACGACCGTCTCGCGGCTGAGCCCGCCGGTCCGACCCGCTCCCGGGGGACCGATCGGCCCGCCGCTGCCGCGCGCCATTTGCAAGTCAGATGGCCACCATTGGCCGCTATGAATTCAGCAGCGCGGTGGCCGCCGGCCGCCGACACTCGGCCCCCTAATAGGATTGCTGTTTTTCGGTAGCCGGAGAGCTGCTTACGGTGAGACAGTGACGCCCTGCCCCGCCGCCGCCGCGTCCGGCGCTTTGTGGGTCTCCTCGCGGTGGCGCGCCGTGTCAGGAGCCGCAGTCCTTCCAACACCTCGGCTGCGAGGCGCGCCGGCCGGCGGCGCGATGCGGCTTTACGATAGCGTGACTCCAACACGGGGCTCTTAACGACACTGCACATGTCTAGTTGTGATGCACATCTGTTTTGCGGTTGCATTACCGTGTGGTGAGCCGGCTTGTTACATGCGGCCGGCGTAAGTGGCCTTTCGTGCAAGGCGTGCTGTGCGATCAGGCGTTGCATCAGCACTGTGGCGGCCGGAGTCGGAGTCGGTGCCGAGCCGGCGACTGGATGGCCAGGACCGTGAGGCCGTGGCGAATTGGTGAAGGACGGCGCTTCGATACGGTCCCCTGGCCCGTCTGAAGGTCTGACGCGGACGACAGTATAGGGGTTCTACTGTGGGGATATTGGTGACGGCTGGTACCCGGTGCAGGAGTGTAGTACGGGCTGCCCTTCATGGAGAGGCTGGCTGGAAATTCCAGCTGTCTGACTGAAAGTAACAGTGGGCATTGATTGATCAGCAGCTGCAGTAAGCGAGCGTACTCCCTGAGCGGCTGTGCCCAGCCAGTCTGCGTCCATTCCGCCGACCAGTGGATGTATCTCGGCGATTGAACCGGACGGCTGTGCCGTGCCACTCCACATCCCTCCCTCGCTGGTCGGCGCATCTATCTTGCAACACACCTGACTGGTGTGCCAAGTACCCACGGCCCTCCCATCTCCGACTGTAGCTCTGAACCACTGAGACCTGAGAAGTGAGAACCACGACTGCCGCGCGCTCGTCCGGCCCGCCCGGCACTCCGACCAGCCCCGCGGCTGTCGCTCTGCCAAACGGCCGCCGCTCTGAGCTGCGGCGTGACGTCTGTGGGCGGTAAATCGGTCACTCCACCGTCCCCGTCCAGCTCCACACTAGCCGAGCTCATCACATAAACACCGCCCGCCACCGCCACCAAAGGAGTTGAAAACAATTACCGCGCGGTAATGTGCCCGGCGCTGGGACGCCTGATGTCTGTGTAATTGGCCGGCGGCTGGTCCTAAATGAGCCGCCACTCCCGGCCGCCGCCGACCACACTCCGGAAAATTGGCACCGGGCGGGCCGCGCTGGGTGGGGGCGGGGCACGGGATGGGTGGGGGCGGGGCGCGGGATGGACGGTGGGCGGGACCGGGGCGCAGGTGCGTGGTCTGTGGTGGATGCGTATGTGGAGTGGAACCATTGCAAATCACATGGTTACGGGGGCACACAAATGACAAGCACGTGCCTTGCAGTAAATAAATCGGGAACAGTTTTTTTTTTTTAAGTTCTGAAAAATATATTCGCCTGGATTTAAGATAAATCGTTTCATATTTAGAGGGTTATGCAGCATGCATACGGAATGAGACGGCGGATAGATGGGGGAAGGAATTGCTAATGAAATGTCAGGTGCGGTGGCTGTGATCGCAGATACGTTCATAGACTGTCCTCTGTCAGATAACTCTGAGACCGTCCATCGCGCCGTGATGACCCGGAACAGCGCCGTGTGCGACCCGTGCTCCCCGCGGAGCCGGTACCGCACACCCTCCACCGGCTCTCACTCGCGCTCCGCCGCCCAGCCGGCCCCGAGCGGGCCATCACCGAGCAGTTTGTGCGGCTCAAACTTCCACTGTCGGCGTCTGCCGGTCGAGCTGCCGGCGCCAAAGAGCCGCCGTCGGGCCCACGGCGGCAATTACCGTCCGCGGCGCCCTGCGGCCACAGCGCCAATTACGGTCTTAGTGTCGACTCGTTTCCGAGCCCTTTACTGGTGTTAAATACACAGCGGGCCCGGTGCGGTCGGCGGCCCGGCGCCGCGTCGGGTCGGAGCCGTGACGAGGGGACGGGTCGCGGGGTACGGTACCAGCCCGGTGTGGTAGTGAGGTGGAGCGCTGGTCTTGTTGGAGGGCTGGTGGGGATGTTGACGTAAGGACAATGGCTGGCCTCTTTGATGCTGGGTCAGATCTCAGACCCGTGTCCCTCTGCGTCTATGTATATGCCAAATGTGTTCTTATATCTAACCGAGTCTGTGCGTTGCAGGTGTCCGACTCTGGATCGGTCATCTTTTCGTCAGCGGGGAAACGCGAGTGTCCAACTCCAAACAGCGTGTCGCTGGTAAAACGTGAGTGGCAGCGGGCAGGGAAGAAGTATTGGGTAACCTTGAGCGACATAGGGTAACGAGATAGAAAACTCGTGAATGACATACCTAGGTTACCAAGTAGAAAACCTGTGAGTATCGTTGGTTTGTCATGCTGAGTGTGTTGCGTTGGGTATCGTGATTGTTGTTAGGGAAACGAAAGTGTCGATCAGCTACGATGCAAACACTATCAGAGTGTTTGACGATGGGTGCTAAGTGGCCTATCGACCGTTGAGATACGTCACCTCATTGTGAAATTGGTGGCTACTTCACTGTACATTTGAGCTGTGATTGCTGAGCTCATATCTCGTCACGGGCTTCGCACGCCAGGTTTCTGTAGTTCGATGTGCTTGATATGCAGCCGTTGTGATGCAAAGGCTATCGGGTGGTCAGCTCTGGCTGTGTTGTGTCACGATGCCCCTCCCCTCTCACCATGGCTCGTAACCCCTCCCGCGCTGACCCGCCTCCCCCTACCTCAGGAGAGAGTCCACCACCACCACCGAGCACCAGCGCCAATGGTGCCCTGGTGACATCTCCACACACCACGGCCGGCACCACGTGTGTGACAGCGCCGGCGGCCTCGCGCAGCCTGCCGGCCCACCAGGTCTGTACCGACCCGGCCCGATGGCCTCCCCGGGACCGTGTTATAGTTGGCCGCCGCCGCAGCCCGCCCCACACAAACGCAGCTGTTTGCCTTTATAGGCATTTTTACTTTTATACGAGCTACTATTAGGTTTTGACGAGTCTTTTTACGCGGCCGGGCAGTGCTATGGGCACATTTGGGCGGCACTAACTCTCGGGCCGTAAAATTGTTACGGCCGGTTAGTTGTGTCGGCCCATACGGTATAATGGCGGCCCGGTGGCCGGCGGCGGCCGGCGGAGTGACCCGGCTCTGCGGATCGGGCAGTGCCCACCGCCGACCGCCGACCGCTCGGCAGCTGGGCTCCGACTGGTGGGTCGGGCTGACGAGTGTCATGACCAACATGTGCGGATGATTACGGGGAATGTTGAATAAATAGTGTCGAGGGATGGATAATGGTATGCTCTTGACTTTGATCGTAGACGTTGTCGATCTGCCTCGTAAACAACAACAAACTTATGATTGTGTATGCTGAAGATGATGTAGTATAGTGATGTTGATACGATATGTTGATGTTGCTGGCCGAGTGTTGATGGCCGTTCTACGTATTGACGGGTGTCCGCCCCTCCGCCAGGTCACCATCGTCCCCCGGTGTACGGCGCCGCCCAGTCGCGGATTCCTGCCCCACCCGGGCCTGGCCACGTACCCGGCACCGTCGGCGGCGCTCCGAGCGACCGGCGGCGACCCGACCGGCCGGCCGCCGCCGCCGCGGACGGCACCCGACACTGTGCCACCGCCCGCCGCCGCCGCCACTGCCGCTGTCAGTGTCTCTTCCGCCGTCACCGTCACCGTCCCCTCAGCGGCAGAACCGCGACTGTCGGCGGCTCCCACCGCCGCACCACCCCCGCCGCCGCCGGCCGCGTCGGCCCCGTCGGCCGCCGCGCAGTCGCCGGTGCCGGGCCGCGCGCGGTTCGCCGTGAGGGACCTGGTGTCGCCGTCGGCGGCAGCGGCGCCGGTGGCGGCCGCCGGCCCGCCGCCACCTGGCCGCAACAATGGCTGCTCGCCGGCACCGGCCTCCCTGCCGACGGCACCAGCGGCCAGCCGCGCCAAACCACCGAGACATAAGGTGAGCGTCGGCGAGCTTCGTGTCTGTTTAGTACAGTACAGACGGGTCAGGATAGTGTAGCATGGTGGCTTTAGTTTAGTAGTCAGGTGTCGAGCGAGCTAAGCCCGTGTGCGTCCCGCAGCCGCCCGCTGGTGTGTCATTACCGTGCTACTGGCCCACCCGGTGGTCGCCGGTGCCCCGCCGTGCGTGGGTCGTTACCACGAACCTGACTGATGGTGAGCCTCATGACATAGGGCTGGCATGGAGGGGACCAGGGGACCCGACACGACATAGGGCTGAAATGGAGGGGACTAGGGGACCCGACCATACCGGACTGGACTGCATTGACTGTGGTCTTTGGACTAGACCAGTGACCATGGGACCACGTCCAGACTCGGCACCAGGCCAGCAACTGTCTCTACGGAATTGACTGATCACATGTGAATGTCTGTCCGACTGTCTGTGTGTCTGTGGAGTAGCAAGGCTTGCTGTGCCTGCAGCTATGTAAGCAGCGACAGCGTGTAGTGTGCCAGGAGGCCCGTGGTATGCAGAATGGCGCAACTGATGACCTGTTGACGTGTGGCACTGTGCTAGTATAGCCGACTTTCGAGCTTGTTGGGCCTACTGCTGGTCGGAGGGGGTCTCACCAGATTCGGGTTAGTGCCAGTACTTGTATCCTTTGTGTGTTCATACTGTTGTGGTGGGAAGGGACTAAGAGGCTGTCGTCGCCTCTGCCCCCCCCCCCCCCTGGCTGCCAAATAACCCCTCCCCACCGCATTCCTATCCGCTGACCGGCCTCCTCGGCCCCAGTTCTGAGTGAGATGTCCCCGCTCTCTCGTCAGCCGTGGTGCGGCCCGTCTAGACGTCGGCCTATCTCCGTCTGTCACTCTGTGTTTGTTTATACAGCCGGACCTGTCGTGTATTTCGTCCCTAATTTGCTGCCGGGCAGATTGTGTGGGCGCTGGTGGCTCAGCGATATGTCATAACTGTGCCGTGTCAAAATGTCCGTGTGGGGCGGGCTACGAAATGTGTGGCGTGTTGCAGGCTGTCAGTGTGGCAATGTACAGCAGACTACACAGTGTGACTGTTTCTACCCCTGTTTGTTTGGCACTCCTTGCTCTTTGAGCGGTCGGATGTCACCGTAATGGTTCTGCCGCTCGTTTTGGTCTGTTCGCTCAGTTTTAGCCTGGGGTTCCAGTACTGGTCCAGTAAACCCTTTGCTGGTGTGGCCTTCTAAACTAGCATCTTGCACTAGCCTGACATGCCTTGTTAATTCTGAAGCCCCGTCGTAAGTCTGACGTCTCGTGTTGGTCTTATTTCTCGTGCTGTTCCGAGATGGTGCCGTTCTGACCTCTCTCTCCGTGTCCCCCTTCTCAGACGAGCAGTGGCAGCCCGGCGTCGGCTTCTTCCCGGCGTCAGAGTCCGGCGCTTGACCGGCAACACCCCTACAGGTGAGTCTTCTGCCGGGTTTCTGCTCATTTTTAGGACTATTCGATCGGCAGATATACACCAATACATTAGCAGGCATTGACATTCCATGCTGTATCCTGTGCTTAGTGTGTTGACTGGAGACCTCGCCTGGTGAAGACATCCATTAGTGAGCTGTACCAAAGCCCTAGTTGTACAGTGTTTCCTGTCTGCCGCGTTAATCAACTGCTGTCGGCCGTGTCTAACCGCCGATTTACGTGTCACATCGTCTGAAATAATCACAGTGAGTTCAGTCGGTCGAGGGCGATGGTCAGTGTGTGTATGTATGTGCCTTGCCCAGGCCGTCGTGCGCTGACCTTGCCTCTTCTCTCCGCAGTGTGGCCGGCCTGAGCCGACTGCCTGGCCCTGCCGGCGCCGCTGCCGGGCCGGCCCCTCAGCGCACCCCGCCGGCCGCCGCTGTCCGGTCTCCCATGTCGATGGGCGTGTTCGCTCCGCCGCCTCCGCCGCCGCTGCTGGCAGGAGCCGGAGGACTGGGTCTGCCGCCCGCCGCGCCCGCTCCGCCTCCGCCGCCGCTGCCCGGACACGACGCAGCCAGTAAGTGATGGCGATGGGGATGGTACAGCTAGTCACAGATGCCGGCACACGGACACAAACTAGGTTTTGCATATGCATAACACACTAGCATACACATACCCGCTTTAGTGACACAAATGCACCGGCAGATACCGGAGATATCGGCACACAGTTTAGAAGATACATCAATAACACATGGGTCGGCATACTAGCTTGCAGAGATACGAACAGGCACAACTGCAAAGCAGATGCACTGCACGTAGAGATCCCGTTGGAAGGGATGCAGCTCTCACCCTTGGGCGTTGGCCAGCGCCACCTGCACTAGATCCGAGCGTGATGAATGGACCCTTCCGTTTCTCTGCTGAGCTGTCAGGACCGCCTTCCCTGACAGTCAAGGCTAGAACGAACTGTCTCCAGCGTATAGCGTCGTCTTTCTCGAATGGAGACTGAGGCGCTCCGAGTTTGCAGTAAACAGCGGCTGCTACGGCCGACCATGATAGTCTCTGTCTCCATTTGTGTGGAACACAGTGCCCGTTACTCTGGCTCGGGTTAACTTGTCGTTGTGGCTCCCTCGCCGCAGTCTGTTGGTGATGTTGCGGTTTTATTGCACGACTCTGTACGACTGACTGTGCTCTGCTGTGTAGGCGCCGACGGGACTGAGTGTCGTACTAGTTTAGCGAGATAGTGGAGCTGTTGGGGTTGGAAGAGCGGCCGTAAACCCTCCACCAGCGCGACAACTAATCGATCTTAGGGTGCCTGGCTTTGGTGACTTTGACTGGAGTGAAGATTGTGAAGTCAGAACTGGACTGCGGCCTAAGCACTGCGGGCACCTCACTGCGGACTGGACTGCTGGACTGAACTAATGACTGCTGTGCGGACTGAAGGCTGTTCCCTTTGAACTAAGAACTGCGTAGTAGAGGACTGAGGCACTACAGGACCGGGATAGGACACAGCCGCGTCGTCTCAACCAGATGGTCTTTGCTATCATAATCCTTTGTAAAAAATAGTACCGACAGAGCGCGGGCTGATAGCAGCAGCGGTGATGTCGACTGAAGTTGCCGCCCTAGCTCCGGTTCGGCAGGATGAAAGAGATCCACGACAGCCGTCTGGGGTGGGCTGCTGCTCTGGAAATAAAGCTGCAGTCTCAATAGTGCTGTTAACGCTGATTGATTTCAGTAGTTCTCAGAATCGCACAGCCGCTGTCTGTTATCTGAGTTCTGCATGTGATTGAGTTCTGACGTGCCTGGAACTACGGACTTCTCTGGTGATGCGTTTTATTTCATTTGTTTTGTGAAGAGATATGTTTGTAGCTCTCTGGTCTGTATATTTTATGCATTCCTTGTAGTTCTGGCACTCTGTGCAGTTTTTGGAATCCCGCGCCGTTTCAATTTCCTTTTCTTCTTCTTTGAACTCGACACATGTTTGCTGACTTCAGCTGTATGCCGACTGAGTGTAAGCCGTCTGTGCTATTTCTGGTCTGTTTGCTTTGTGCGTGATATCACTGGTTTTTATGATATCACTGGTTTTCACTGGTATGCCGCATACTGCAGCCTGGCTGCAAGCACCTCCAATCCCCAGCCTGGGACTGTACATTGATGATGAGACCATTCGTATAGCGGTAGCCCTCCGACTAGGCCTGCCCATCTGTGAGCCCCACCAATGCAAGCTATGTGGATGCTCTGTGGACAGGCTGGGACACCACGGCCTATCATGTAAGAAGAGCGCCGGTCGCTTCCCACGGCACGCAGCCCTAAATGACGTCATTAAACGAGCACTGGCGAGTGCGGGCGTACCATCGATCTTAGAACCTGTGGGGCTAGACAGAGGAGATGGAAGGCGCCCCGACGGGCTGACAACGTTCCCCTTCAGTGCCGGTCGAAGCCTCACATGGGACGCCACGTGCGTTGACACGTTTGCTGAGTCACACGTGGTGAAGTGTGCAGTGGACCCTGGCGCAGCGGCAGCCGTCGCCGAGAACCTGAAGCGCATGCGCTACGCCAGTCTCGCAGACCGCTACATCTTCACTCCAGTAGCAGTAGAGACTACCGGCGTAGTCGGAGAAGCAGGGTCAAAGCTGCTCCGGGATATCGGAGGTCGGATTTCTGCGGCGACAAAGGACCCCAGAGAAGTGTCCTGGCTTCTACAAAGAGTCTCGATAGCGATCATCCGGGGAAATTCCGCCGCTATCCTCGCCACAGCCCCTCCTGACGCTGGTCCCCATCACGTTGGGTGCGTCGCAGGACGGACGTCTGGCCAGGCAGAAGAGTCTGACTCAGCCGTAGACGGCGAAGTAGCTCCACCGGCTTCTTCATCAAAATCCAGCGTGTTTGGCCAGCTCATCGAGAATGGGAGAAAGCTAGCCCCAAGCGACTTCGAGGTTCCATGGGGCGAAATATTTGGTGCAAAACCAAAGCACTGACGGAATATGAGTGGTAGTGTCTAATGTGTCATCGAATTGTACCTTATGGTAAAATACATCACTAGTTTTGCCTTTGATTAACTGCTGTCTAGACGCTTTGTATCAATACTCAGCTCTTTGTAGATAGAGATCAAGTCGAGTGCAAGGGCAAGAATGCCCTTTTTTCAATTTGCATCTAGTGTTGATATTTTTGCCTTCTCTGGTATTATTTATTCCTCGTCATCACTAAGGCCCTGTTTTACCAATGCTGTCACCCTGGGCATGCCACTCCGTGTATAACCTCTGCCTACCTTTTCCCCTGTGTGTTAATTTCCCCATCTGACCTGTGACCGCCCGTCCACCCACAGACAAGGCGGACCTGCTGCGGCGCGAACTGGACACCCGTTTCCTGGCCTCCCAGGACCACAGTATCTCTGTGGGCCCGCCGCCATACCTGCGGCCCACCAGCGCCGAGCTGCACCAGCAGTCGCACCAGCACCAGCACCACCAGCACCACCCGGCACCACCGCCAGCGCTGGTCAGTCGCGGCGGCGCCGGCTGACGTGTGCCCAGTATTGTTTATTGGCCGTTCCGCGCCGGCTGATTCCGGTATACGGGCCCATTATGCGGCAGAACGGCCAGCTAGGATTGGACCGATAGTGGCCAGGATGCATTAGCAGGTGCTCGTTTCGGGATGCGCTGACCGTTTACGATCGCTCGCCGAGGGTCAGTTCGGTATGGGTATGAATATTTCATCGGTCGAGTCTGAAAGGTGGACACGAATAGCCTTGCAGTTCAAACGTCGCTTGCCGCGGCTGAGTCGGAGCATTAGGGGAGGTATATGTTAGTGTGGGCGTGCCAGCCACGACACGATTCGCAGAGACATGTTTCGGCTTTAGCTATAATCTGAGGAAGTCTGACCAGCCGCCTCCCGCCCGCCCGTCCGCAGCTGAAGTCTGTGCCGAAGCTGGGCTCGGTGAACTCGCCGTTCTTCCCGACCGGCTCAGCGCCGTCGATGGCGACTATGTCGCCGCTGTCGGCTCGGCCGCCGGCGCCCTCCTTCCTGCCCGGAGCGCCGCTACAGTTGACGGCTCCGAAGGTATGTCGGAACAGGGACGGAAACGGATACTGCTTCTGGTATGATTTTGGGTGAACATCAAAGTAGGCAAAGGGAGAAGACTTGCTGCTGTGAAGTGAGCCAGCTGTGACCTTATGACTTATCCCGTCGGTTCCTAAACTAACGGTCGTCATTATTTGCTTCGTTTTTTTTATTCGTGCCTTTGTAATGCCCCATTGCTTGTCATCGAAAGAGCGAGGCACCCGCACACCTGCCTTCTTCAGCGGCCCTTCTCTGACCTATGCCACCGCTCCGCTTTCCGCCCACAGAAGACCGGCCGCTGGAACGCTATGCACGTGCGGATAGCCTGGGAGATCTACAAGAACCAGCAGAAGTCGCCGGCGAGTGCGTGCGGCCCGGAGCGGGGTTCTGCCGGCCCGGTGGGGCCGCGGCCGGTGGAGCCGCCCCTCCTGCCCGGACCCGGCACGCACCTCCGGCCCTCGCTGATAGATGTGACGGGCGCGCCGCACCCGCTCGGTAGGTGACTCAGTGGTGGGATGTGTCTGAATGGGGAGGCTTTATGTGAGAGTCTAAAGCGAGAAAATCACTGCCGGCTTGGCAGATAGTTGTGATTTACGTTCCGGGCACTGAGCATTTTCAGTCATAAAAGAAACAGTGTTACTCATGCTTTTGGGAAGGAATTGTCATGCTCGTAGTTTGGGGTGCCCAAGTACCATGACTAAGCATCTCCGTTGCAAAAACTTTTCTGGCCTGCCGCCTAACTTGAGCTGTGTCCAGTCACTAGTGTACAGCCGCCTCACCCCTGGTCCGTTCGTGGTTTCAGCACCTGCCGGGTTCCCGCGCTACCCCAGCCTGGCGCCACCTGTGAGCGGTGCCTTCAGCGGCCTGCTGCCGCCCCCGCCCCCGCCCGGCGCCTTCCTGGACCGCCACGGACCGGCGCCGCCCGCCGGTGGACACCCCTTCGCGGCGCTGGATTCGTGGAGCAGGTAAGCACGGGGAGGAGCGTAGTACAGCCTTTTGATATTGTGTCAACGTGAATCGTCTGTGCCAACCTCATTTGTCTCTAGTATAGACTCATTGACTGCTCGAAGCCAATCATAAGTTCCATTGTGACTAGTCCGTCTGTGTGGATACTGTGACCGGTAATTTAGCCCCTTAACCCGCGCACCGACGGGGGGGGGGCGGATATCCGCCCCCCCTGAGGTTTTTCGCGAATAGCGGGAAAACCGCGGCGCGTAGCGCCGCGAAATTTGGTATGACTATTCCCTTATCAATTTTACACATGATGTGCAAGTTTGAACCTCCTACCTTTCAAGGTCAGGTCACCAGGTCACTTTGAATGACCCAACCTCAAGTCACTTTTTTGCAACTTTGTCACCGTGCCAGAGCTACAGTAGATGTCGGAGGCCTTTGAAAGTCGCAGGATGTTATTAGGTCATTAGTAGCTACAATTTGTATATCTCGGAATTTTGATATCGGTGACCTAAGGTCAGGTCAATTTCGCGACCTCCCCATTATAAGTCAATGGGGGAAAAATCAACTCCCTGTTTTTACCACTAAAACGGGTCGGAATGGCCCCATATACCATACATGACTTCATATACGATCAACCTTCACTACCTTGAGGTCTGTTTTGCTGTTGGGCAGCTGTGAGGTCATGTGACGTCATCAAAGGTCACCAAAGGTTTTTGGCCAATAACTCCGTACAGGAACAAGATACAGACGCGTGGATGGTCTCATTGTGTTCAGCTCGTCAAGACGCATCGAATGATATACATGATGACCTCGAGGTCACGTGACCTGAGGTCAACCTTTGACCTTGACCTTTCGAGGTCAACATATATATCATTCGATGCGGATTGACGAGAGGATCACGATGATGCCCTTAGTTTGTTCCTATCTTGACTAATTCGAAAGTTATTCGAGAAAAACTCTCTCCATATTTAGCGCCGCCATTTTGACTTTTTCGACCCCTGTGACGTCATCTTTGACCTGACCTGAAAATGACCTTAGTAAAAATTGTAGATCTTGACCGTGCGTATCCGATGCCGTTTACTGCTTGTCGCTATCTTGCTTCGTTCTCGAGATCTCAGGGGGGGGGCGGTCATCCGCCCCCCCCCCCCCCCCCCCCCGTCGGTACTAAGTTGGCGCAGACCCCCGTCGGTGCGCGGGTTAAGTGACACTGACCGTCCTCTCCCCGACAGGCTGGCGCGTCCCCCGGTACCGACCAGCTCCTGGCCGTCTCTGAAGCCGGAGCCGCCGCCGGCCGCCCCGGGCCGGCCTCCCTACAGCCCTGCTCTGGAGGAGCGCGACCGGCGGCCCAGCTCCGCAGAGCGGCGCCGGACGGCGGCCACCCCGCCGCGCCGCGATCACTCGCGGTCACCCATCCGACTGAAGGCGGAGCCGCCCGAGCCGCGGCGGGACCACGAGGAGCGGCCCCGCTCCGCCGACCACAAAGGAGCGGCGGCGGCGGCAGCGGCGGCGGCGCGGCACATAAACGGCGTGGTGCCGCACCCGGCCGACGGGCGCGCCGCGGCCGCTGCCGCGGCACTGTACGCCGCCGGCCGGCCGCCGTACGGGTACGGGCCTCTGGAGGCGCCGCGCGGCCCGCCACCGCCGCCGCCGCTCGATCCGTACCAGGCGGCGCTGGGCCACGACGCGCTGCGGGAAACCCTGGAGCGGGACCGGCAGCTGCAGCTGGCGCAGCTGTACCGCGACCCGGCCGCCGCCGAGCTGGCCCAGCTGCAGTCGCGCGAGCTCGAGCGGCTGGCCCGCGACCGCCAGCTGCTCGACCACAAACTGCTGTGGGGACTGCACGCGCCGGCCGCGCCGCCTTACGGCATGCGTCCGCCGCCGCCTCCGCCGCACGACTCGCTGCATCTAGTCAACAGTTTCAAGTCGCCGTATCCGGGCGCGGTACCGGGGCTCGGGCCGCCGCTCGGGCCGCTCGCCGGTCTGGCCGGCTGCTCGTCTATGCCCCTGCGGAGGCTGGAGCCGCCGCCGGCGCCCGGCGCGCCGCCGTTACCGGGCCTGCCGCGCCGGGACGCCGACCCGGGTCGGTAACCGGCCGCCCCCGCGCCGCGCCGCGCGCGTCTCACCGCCGTCACCTTTAGAAGCCGTTTATCGTGTTGTTGAGAGCCGATTAACTGTCTGGTGCTGATTTACCGATTACTTTATACAGTCTTGTTGTGCGCGTGGACGCGTCAGTCCGCGATCGTCGACTCATGTGACGCTCCGTGCTCCGCTCGGCGTTTTCTGATCTCATTCGCCCGCCGTCGCTGCCTCTCGTATGTGCGTGTCCGTGTCAGTGCTCCCACGCAGCCGGCGGGCCCGGCCCGGCCTCCGAGGGCCGCCTCCTATCTGTGGTATTTTTGTAAAATAGTCGTGGGTCGACCTCGTGTTGTCGTTGATTTCGGAGCTGCTCCGTATACTATGCGAGTGTATATATGAATAGTGATTTTTAATAGAGCGAGATACCAGTGACCGAAGAGCCGTCTGTTGGTGGGGCCCGCGCTGGAGAGCTGTCGCAGTGTCCCGTGGGCCGGCTAGGACCTCATTCACCAGCCGTAAAACGCGACTGGAGGGCCGACATAATCCGCCGAGCGGTTATTAAAGTTTAACGGCGCGGCCATCGGTCGTTAGCGCGGTGTCGGTGGGTGCGGGATCCGCGGCGGATGGCAGGGTGGGACCGTGACCGGCGGCGCGACTCAACGAACGTCTGTGGGCACGACACTTCGCCTTGGGATGGAGACGTTACGGGCATTGCACAGATTGAATGGTATTCGTTTGAAATGTTGAAATCCCGCTCAAGGCGGACGAATGCGCTTAATCCCACTATCGCGCATCGAGTAACACACGATCTGAAACACGCAAACAACTCACAAGCTCAGGACATTATCAAGTTTTATCGTCGCAATATCTGGATTATCGACAGCAAATGCATTCACGGCCAATGCACGCATCAAGTCCAACACATGTCAAGGACCACACGTTGTCACTCGTACCCGCCCCCCGTCAGCATAAGGGGACAGAGTGGCGGAACCCACCCAAAACTCTCTCCCTTCCGCCACACGCACACAAACCATCCCTGACATCGGCAGTCGTTCGGTAAGTCGATCGTTACAACTGGCTCCGTTGTCGAAACTAAAAAACACCCGACCACGGCACCACAGCAGTTCATACCTCACTCACCCGCCCGGTCAGTCTCTGGCGGCGGCACGATCGCTCCTCTCACCCTTTGTACAACACGGCGGGGCGATCACAGAAGTGGCGGCGGGCCCGGCGGCGGAGCCTCCCCAAACGCGGACACGAGGGGCGGGCTGGACGCCCTGGCCGGTCCTAACGCGGTCACAGTTCGGTAGAGAGAGGCTCTGGGGGCTCACGGCGCCCCCCCCCCCCGCGGAGCCAGCGCCGTGGCACGCTGGCAGGACAGTCACTGCCAGTCTCAATCGGTCAGCTAACCAGTCTGCCTTGGCCGGCCTCAGCCAGTCATAGCAACTCACAGTTGGGCTTGGATAACAATCCAGCCAGTCTAAGCCAGTAGTGAACTTTAGCCAGCCTTGTCAACTTATAGTCTTTGCTGACCTCAGGTCACCCAAGCTGACCGCAGCCGACCTCAGTTGACCTTCTGTCGACCTCAGCCGACCTCAGTCCTCCACCACTCAGCTCAGATGACCGACTCCTTCATATACGCGTCCAGCTCGGCGTCCAGCTGGCTCTTGGTACTGGCCATGTAGTCATCCAGCTGGCGGTCGAGCTCCTCGCGGGTCATCCGCGGCGCGCCGCTGCCGCGGCCCCGTCCGCGCCCCCTGCCCCTGCCGCGGCCCCGTCCCCGGAACCCGCCGGAGCCGCCGACACCGGCCGACCAGCTGCGGGCACGGCCGCGCACCGCGCCGCGACCCCACGGCTGCACGCGGCCTGCGGGAAGGGGAGCGAGGTTAGTGTGATAATACAACAGGCACTTGACTAGCTGATGTTTGTATCTCTTTTATCATTCTTTGAGGAAAGTCTGCTAGATTCTTAGATTTACGTTCCAGATTCGAGACTGAGAAGAGTAATAGAAACATTGAAAGGACGCCTTTATTCTTCATATTACCTTCTAAACAACTATCTAATATTCAGTTTAACAATACATATTCGACACCATTGCACCCTAGTTTCAGGTGTTCCACCAACCTCGGGTCGGCTGGAGCCGTTTCACAGCCGGCCGGACGCGGCCCAGTCGGGTCAGAATGCTGCGACCGCCGCCGGTGGCGCCCCTGGCGGCCGGACTGCGCACCACGCCCAGGCGCGCCTTCACCGAGAGGCGCTGTTTGATGGACTGGCGCGTACGGGGCGTCACGGCCGCGGCCGCTGCCGACATCGCCATCGCCGACGGAGTCGGCTTCTGCGGGAAAAGTGCCGGTCAGCTAGGCTTTACAGCAACGTTTAGTGACTAGCGGGGTACATAAAGGCGACATGGACCCTGGACGAGAAATATTTGCAAGTTCTTACAGAAATATGATAGTGAAGTACTAGCTCGAAGTGTATTGGGCATAGACCAACCTCATCGATCTTGAGAAGAGCACGACTTATATTGACAGCTGCATCGGAATAACCAGTACAGCCGCTTTGTCACCAATACAGTATACAGGGTGTCCCATAAGTTCCTTCTCACCTAAATTTTTCTTTTAGAGGCTCTCTTATTTAAAGCCACGCTTAATTTATTTTGTAACTGAGCTTTTGGGGTTGCCATGGCAACTGTGAATGTTCTCCACGGTAACTAATTCGTCTAGACAAAATATTTTTTGCCAGAGAGTTCACTTCCTGTGGAGACGGCTTACGCCGCAACATAGAGGTCTCCGATACGGGAACGTCTCGGTATTTAGTCCGCACTGGGCGATTCACGACGGTTGAGGGTGATTGAGGCCATCCAGTATGTAGCCAATGTCTGTCGCTAACCGGACGCACAGTCAACAAGTGATGCCAATGATTTGTCGGGAGTCAATCGCTGCAAGTTTATGCTCTTTTTTGTCAACTTTCACGAGTGAGCCATGTGACCAAAACTGTGTGGCGCCAAAATGGCCGTCAAAAAAGTCTTAGCGTTAGAAAGTTGGTAAACAGGCTTTTCAGGATGCATTACCAGCTGTCTAAGAGTATCATTTCGGGGTACCTTACTCAAGGTGACTTAAGCTCTACTTACCGGAGGGCTCAAAACAGTCAAAAACGTCTTAAAATGGCCAAACATGTGTTTCGTTATGCCTGAGGCTAAAAAAACTGGAGGGCCGATGACATCAATGTGGTCATCTGGACTACCTAGTCCGTGCTCGAGATAAAACACCCGTCCAAACCCCAAAACGGTCCCATATGGGCGACGGAAAAGGCCTTTGTGTCATCCCGCTTTATTCCTATGCAAAAGGCCAGGGTCACGGAAATGTGGGGTAATATGCGTCCAGACACTGATCACGTTGCGATTGATACTCCAGAAACAGTCTTGGGACGCAGAATGCTTCTCCAAGAAGATCTAGGAGAAGTTTCAGCTTTCTAGCTTAACTCGAACCGCAAGTATGACCACATTTTTTAGGAGAAAATGGCATCCGGGAGGTCGTAGGCCCATTTTCAAGCAAGACAGTGCATCAGTGCACAGGTCAAGCAAAGCTTAGAAGCAGTGCTAGGAGACTGTGATAGGCGTGTGTGGCAAGATCACATCCCAGGCAACTCATCGGATCCAAATTTCATAAAAATGTGTTGGGAATATTGAAATCGAGGCTCGTCGAAGCGAAGCGGTGTTCCAGCATTGAGGAGCTCACGGCGCATGCCAAGTCAGTCTGGGCTAACTTCAAGCCTGCTATGCTGCCAAACATGCCGGTTAGCATGTCGCAGCATGTATCATGTGTTTGCCTATGAAATGGGGAGCACATTGAGGGGTTATAAACATATCAAAACGCAATGTACTCTGTTTTACATGCAAATATAAGGTGAGAACGAACTTATGGGACACCCTGTACAATGCAATACAGTATGAGCGATTCTGTTTAGCAGCCTCACAGTCCCGTTACGTTACTGCCTGTTTATTCTACTGCCGGTAACGCAACGTTACGTGCAGTTACCGCCAGCCCGAGTCTGTGGCCGTGCCGCGGCCCTGTTACGTTACCCCCGCCTCCACCAGTCAGTCTGACCCGTACCGCGGTGCCGTTGGCGCGCAGGGCGGCCAGCACGGACGGCCGGCTCTCCATCTGAACCGCCAGCCGCTGGTTGGCAGCGCTACTGGCGGTGGCCGCCGGCAGGCGCGGCCGCACCACCGGCGCCGCCGCGCCCACACCCGCCGCCGCCGCCGCCGCCTGGCGCTGCTCCCGCAGCTGACGAAAGTGCGAGAACCTGCCGACAGCCGGCGTAACCATCACATTCACAGCTACCGCTAGGGCATCACGACCAGACCAAACGGTTTTACAACACACTGGCCGTAGCGAATCAGGCATGAAATGTAGTCGGCACCTGTTCATCTTCTTGAAAAAGATAACAAGGATCGTCGAGCACATTTTGTCATAACAAAGAGACGGTGATTTACTCAATGCAGCTGATGGGGTGTTCAATCACGTACCTGTCATTTAACGACATTGTTGTCGTTTTAGGAAGAACTATGCGCCCAATCATGATGAATCACTTATGCCTGGAAGCAACAGAAAAAAATGCATATGATCAACTGTCACCCGAATTGCATTTCACATAAAATCTACATTCCACCCACTGACGAAGAGCGTAAGGCCGATCTGCAGCCGCGCTCAGTCTTGGCACCTCAAACATAATAACTTAAAAGGAATTTTCTGATGGATACCCACCAATAAACCAAGTTACAGTTATAGGTATATCCCCACCCAATACATAATTATTTTAAGTGGAATAACCTTGACTACCCTTACCCCTGCACTTACGGGGAGGGGATCAGATGGAGCGACCTATTGCCTTCGACATCATTCCTCTACAAATTAGTTTTGTTAAAAGCGGTGGACTGCGACAAACTTTTTCAGCACCCTCAAGATAATCAATACTATGCCAACCCTGGGAACTCATCACCTTGATCTAAATTACACCAGTTACATCCGGTGATAGCCCCGAAGGGTGGACCACGCACGCAGCCTATTAACCTTACTCCCGACCAGCTTAACACATACTTTACATCCATTGGGACTGAAACGCGTGACAAAATCAAGGCCAACTTTAACCAGTCCGGTAAAGAGCCACTGGACGTACGTCTCCCCCGTGTGAACACTGGTAAACTAAACATAGTTCCCGTGACTCTGGAGCACCTGCGACGGGTACTTTTCTCGCTACCAAACGAAGCGGCAAGCACTGATGACGAAATACCGCTTCTGATTTTGAAACAAACTTTTGATGTCACTGGGAGAACGCTTCTAAGAATAATAAACAAAAGTATAGTCTCAGAAACTGTACCTTCTTCATGGAAGAGAGCAGTAGTATTGCCTATTCATAAACGCAATGACCCATCGGTGGCTTCTAGTTTTAGACCCATTACTCTCGTACCGACAAGTTGCAAAATCATGGAAAAACTTGTTCATGAACAAATTGTAACGTATATGAACAACCAATGTCTTTTCAGTTCTGATCAATACGGATTTTCAGCTCACCATTCGACCTGTACTGCTCTAGTAACTGTGACTGATGCGATTCTACAAGGCATGGATCGTTCGGAGGTATCTATTTTAACATTGATGGACTTAAATCGCTGCTCTGACGTGATTGATCACACCAACCTCCTCACGAAGCTTCAACAGCTCCAAATATCTACCGGATGGCTCAGTAGCTACCTTGAAGGCCATACTCAACGCGTAAGGGTCGGCGACACTTTATCAAACCCTTTAAACATCTCTATGGGCACGTTTCAGGGAAGCTGTATGGGCCCATTGCTCTTCAACATAGCGACCAACGACATTGCATGTTGATATTCCGCTCGAAATTAACGGTTTTCGTGTAACTTTCGTAAGGTATGCAGACGACACGCAGATCGCTCTCACAGGCCCTCGTAGTAAGCTATTCGAAATGCGAAATTCACTCGAAGATGTATTAGACGTACTTTGCGCATGGTTCATGCAAAATGGAATGATGGTTAATGCGGATAAGACAGAAGTTCTTTTGTGCGGCGACAGACGACAGCTTAGCAAAATCACTACGTTTATGCATTACGTTTATGAAGCAGCGGCTCGAATACTCGACTAATGTGCGAAACCTTGGTGTGATTATGGACCCCACGTTATCGTGGGAGCCACATCTGACAGTTGTAACCAATCGGTGCATCGGAATACTCATCGCTCTTTTACATGCCAGACATGTCATGCCTATAAATGTCTTGCCTCAACTCATTGATGCCCTTGTGTTCTCGCATCTTCGCTATTGTGTACAAGTTTATGGAAGTGGAAATCAAACAGTGATAGGAAAACTGCAAAAGGTGTTCAATTTTGCAGCAAGGGTGCTATCTGGCCGACGCAAGTACGACCATACCTACAACGGATGTTCTCAGTAGACTTGGTTGGCTGAACGCTTAACAGTTTGTCCAATATTCTGACATATGCATGATGCACAAGATTTAAATGAGCGATGCTCAGAGGTAGAGCATTGGAGCGCTAATACAAAGGCCCGGGGTTCGAATCCCCATACAGCCCAAATCTTTAACGAGCTTGCAAAAGATGACTGATGTCATCACTGTCAACCGTGGAAGCTGTATGGCTACCCATCTACGCTGGAGTACGAAAAACATCATCTCACGCTCTCAGTCCCAGCGGATAAAATCCCAGCGGATAAAAACAACACCTAAGAACCATCTGATCTGACCAAGGGTCAGATCAGATGACTCTCAGTCGAACAGCCAACAACCGTGACGGCAGGAGATGTTTTGTGCACCGTGCGGCCAGGCTTTATAATCAATTTGTTCTTAGCAGCGGTATTGACGTCACTTCGTTTTCCACATTTAAGACTCGTGTCCGCGATATGATATACAATATATGTGATGTGACTGTGAGTGCATTATATCTTGTATGACAACGGTCTGTGAATAGCCCAATTATTGCGGTTGGACCGGATGATGTAAAATAAATAAATAAATAAATAAATAAATAAATAAATAAATAAATGACCTTTGCCCTTCTCAAAAACCATGTGCAGCCAGATCAACGCATGTCAGCCCTCAGCACACATTATTTGTGTGCTTTCATGGTTTGATCACCACCCCTGTGGTTTTTGGCATACCTTATCACACATCAATTCTGCACATGTTGTGAAAAGTTCAGACAAAGGTCATTCAAGGTCAGGTCACCAGGTCATTTGAAGTGACCACAGTACCTCATAAACAGTTTCAACATCTGCCATAGCTACACCGACTGACCGATCGCTTTGAAAATTTCAGCAATTGCTAACAGCAATAGTATGTACAAAATGTGTATCTCATAATTTTGATATCGATGACCTTAGATCAGATCAATTTTGCGACCTCCTCATGGGAGAAAACTGACATGCACCCCTTTTGGACGAAAGCCATTGTAAACACTCCCAAACACTGAATTACAAGTAACTTAGGCACAGTGAGCGTAAAAAGGGTGTATGTGACCCCTGTTTATGGCCCTGAGGTCATCTCAGGTCACGAATGGTATCTAACAATTTTTCGCGATTAACTTTTGATAGAGGCATGCTAAAGCGATGAAAATACCTTGGATGTGTTCAGCTGTAAGTGTTCAGCTCGACGATACGGATCGACTGAATGGACTGATATGCAACATGATCCTTTCCGATCAGGTCATGACCTTGACCTGAGGTCAATTTTTCAAGTTGACCTTTCAAGGTCAAATTATAGTTCATTCGATGCGTCTTGACGAGAGGAACACGATGCCGGTAAAAGTAAGCTCGTGCAAGGCTTGAGTCAAACGTTATTGCGGAAAAAATGTTTCCGAAAAAAATCGGCTTTATAGGCAGTTTTTGCCCGCTGCAGGCAAAACCGCTGACGATAGGTCAAATCTGAGAGAATTAATAAGAAAGGGCGTTGATAGGGCGATTGCGCTTTTCCGCGGCGCTGTAGCTTTAGCAAGTCAATATTGACATCAGTCATCACAGAAGCAGTAAAGAGGCTACCTGTCTAATGTCTTTATATCTATGGGCTAGGTACATATTCAATGGAATGCTGTTTGGTCATGCAAGCAAGCATAGGCTAAAGCAGCATCATTGTTGTAGCTTTGATGAGCACAAAAATACCTGGAACACCAGGCTAGGTCTTGTGCAGCCCTACGACCATACAGTGTAGGTACAGTCCACAGCAGAAGTAATATGTGGTTTCAGTCATGGGTATGTTCTGCTTCTGAAGCCTAGGAACGATTAGCCAGACTGCAACGAGACTTTAAATGTGGCTTACATGTATCTTCACCCTTGCAGCTACAACTTTATCTATTGATGTCTTCTTTTCAATCAGTCCGCATTTAAAATCGTCAGTCAAAGCCATCCGTTGAGATTGGTAAAACCACACATTACTTTAGCGGTGGGCTGTTATGTACCTCCTGACAACTCATCATTCATTAGTTGTTGTGTTGTTGACTAGTCCAGGATTTGTCCTTCTGGATAGGTTCCAACTCCTAAACTAGAGTGGCCCGCGCAACATGAATAAGGAATATTTTTGATTAGTGGGGTTTGGGTTGGTCTTATGTAGGTCGATCTTTGTTAGGTTATGTATCCATTCAACCAATTGCTTATTGATTGGCTTAACATTTTGGCTTAGAAAAAAATATCCATCACATTCAAGTGCTCATATCCGAGGGGTGTTCACGGGCACCACACACTGCTGCGTGCGGTGTGTGCTGTGCGTCCAGCAGGCGTGGGGGTAGGGGATGGGTAGGCGGTTCTGGTATCGGTAACCCTGGCGTCACCGGTAGCTTTTTCGTTCAAGGCTAAGGTTTCCTGTATCAGGCCGCCGTGCCAGGCCGAAGCATGCTGTGACGTCACTGGGTAAGAGAAGATAACGTAAAGTACGACTCAGACAGACTCAAATCGACTCAGGCAGACTCAAACTGACTTGAACCGACTCAAACCGATTCAGATCTACTCAGACTGACTCAAACTAACTCAGACCGACTCAACCAACTCAAATTGATCGACTCAAATCGATTCCAATCGACTCAGACTGACTCAGGCAGACTCAGACCGATTCAGATCGACTCAGATAGACTAGAACGACTCAAACTGACCCAGAACGACTCAACCGACTCAAATCGTTCCGATCGACTCAGACAGACTCAGAACGACTCAGACAGACTCAGGCAGACTCAAACTGACTCAGATAGACTCAGAATTACTCAAACTGACTCAGACCCACTCAGCCGACTCAAATCGATTCCGATCGACTCAGACAGACTCAGAACGACTCAGACAGACTCAGGCAGACTGAAACCGGCTCAGGCAGACTCAAACCGACTCAGGCAGACTCAGACCGATCCAGATCGACTCAGATAGACTCAGAACGACTCAAACTGACTCAGACCGACTCAACCGACTCAAATCGATTCCGATCGACTCAGACAAACTCAGAACGACTCAGACAGCCTCAGACAGACTCAAGCCGACTCAGGCACACTCAAACTGACTCGACCGACTCAAACCGATTCAGGTCTGATGATTCAGGTCAAACCGATGGGTCTGTCAGAGTCGGTCTAAATCGGTTTGAGTCGGTTAAGTCGGTTTGAGTCTGCCTGAGTCTGTCTGAGTTGTTCTGAGTCTGTCTGAGTCGATCCGAATCGATTTGAGTCGGTTGAATCGATCTGAGTCAGTTTGAGTCGTTCTGAGTCTATCTGAGTCGGTCTGAGTCGATCTGAATCGGTTTGAGTCAGTTTGAGTCTGCCTGAGTCGGTTTGAGTCGTTCTGAGTCTGTCTGAGTCGATCGGAATCAATTTGAGTCGGTTGAGTCGGTCTGAGTCGATCTGTATCGGTCTGAGTCTGCCTGAGTCGGTTTGAGTCTGCCTGAGTCTCTCTGAGTCGTTCTGAGTCTGTCTGAGTCGATCGGAATCGATTTGAGTCGATCGGAATTGATTTGAGTCGGTTGAGTCGGTCTGAGTCGACCTGAATCTGAAAGCGTAGTAAGTAATCTTCTCTTCCAGTGACGTCACAGCATGCTTCGGCCTGGCACGGTGCTCTAATACAGGAAATCCTAACCTTGAACGAAAACATTACCGGTGACGCCAGGGTTACCGATACCGGCGGTTCTGACGTCACGGCTGCGTGCGGTGGACGGTCCACTGTGGCCAGTCCCGACCGGTCACAGCAATCGCTGTGTGCGGTGACGGAAGGCTGACTTAGGAACGCAGTGGGCGGAGCTTGGAGGCTGTGTGCGGTCCGACCGCACACAGGGCCCGTGAACAGCCCTCTGATTAGTGATTAGCAATAGCATGCCTTCTACTTTACAACAGATGGCAAGGTTATTGAAAGCCATTAATGAATTTCACATTGTCACCAATTCGAATTCGAACAGTACCTATCAACAGCATATAAGCAAATGAAAATAGATCGATCACTGATCACTGATGCGACAATTGCAAAGGAACTTATGAAGACTAAAAAAGCTCTAAAATATTATAAACGTCCTTCTCCCCAGTCTCTAAGCATTAATGTAAGTATATGGCGACAAAAAGGAAATAAAATGTTTGCTTACCAGGTCACCTTCCAACAATTCCAAGCAAATTATCCTAATTCTCAATAACCACCCAACAATCACGGACACGCCTAAGAGCTGGACTTTTTGATGACGTCTTCGGGTGACGTCATGTCGTGTGTGACGTTTCGTGAGCAGGTAAGGAAAAGTCACCACCGCTGGCGAACATTGGTGCGGTAAATGGCAAACACAAATGCTGCGCAGAAAAGACAAATGTGTAACTTCAGACAACGTCCGAGGAGGAGAATCATAACTTATACTGTGTTTTCTCTGTATTATTAACATATTCATCATATATACAATATAAGGCCCACATGTTTTTTACAGGGAGACATGTCAGACAGCCCAGTAGGATGAGGCTTCGTCAAGCGTCATTTTTAGCAAAGCTTGAAAGCTTTTCTTGCTTAAAAGTTAAAATGACAACACTCACTGGGAAAATGGTGATATGACATTATTTTAATGGCCATTGAAAATTCTGTATGTCAGATTTGATATTCCGAACAGCTGTTTGGCAAGATATTTTCAGTATCTAAGTAATCCACTTTGCTAGAGTACTTTTGTGCGCTTTTAGGTGCGTGCATCCGTTTCCCCCTGAAATAAACTTTTATAGTGATATCATTCAAGCACCTTTTTTCATTGTGTTCAAACTTTGAATTTCAGCGCCAAATGCTGGCTCTGTTCAACCTTGGACCCCCATTTACAACAGCCAGAATCAAGATCCTTTGTCTTCTTTTAAGAACTGCCGGAATAACTTTCCTATCTTACTTCCCGTAACCTGAAACTTGTGTTTTCTCCACCAGGGTGCAAAATTGGTATAATGGTGGTCAAATTTGATTACCATGACATCATCACCGTAGTCATACTTAGCAAAGCTGTAGTCAAAAACAGTATTGCTAAAAATGACCACTCTTGACCAACCAAACCTCACCCCACTGAGTTCAAACACCATTGTCAAAAGTCCTTACACTTGACTCCCAGCTGTTGTGTCTTTGCTATGCGATGTTAAACATATAAAACATCTTACTATTCATGTATGCGCCATGACTCATGTAATCTTTTCACAGCCAAGACGCTCCTAAGGTGCTGGGAATGTGGGGAGTGCAGCAGCATCAGTGCAGCACCGATGGTCGGATGCGACGGCTGCGATAAATGGTACCACTTCCGTTGTGCGGGACTGACTAAGGAGCCAGGTAAGCGCAAATGTTTTCTGTCTCAGTATTTTTGTTGCAGCTATGGTGATCAATGAAATATTTTCCGCACTGTTCAGCCAAACATGTATTTCAAACAATCACAATCTGCTTCCCAACCAAGGGCGTCACCACAGGGGGGGGGGGGACAGAGGGGATCTCGTCCCCTCCACTTTTTAAAATTTTAATATTACGCCTATGGCGTTGCATGGAAAGAATCGACTTGAAATGGTCCTCGTCCCCTCCAAAATGGTCAATGTCCCCGCCAGTCGTCGCACCGTGGCGTCGCCCCTGTTCCCAACTACACAAATTTAGTCAAACAATGTGCCAATATGGAATTTTCAGGTTCAGTTGAATGAAATAGGAACAATGATAATTGTAGATTACGTATACCTGCAAGAGAGGAAAACAGAATACATTGTATTGCTTGTCCTTCACCGATACTGTTATTTTTCCATTTCTAGAAACACCGACATGGCGATGCAGGTGGCGCTGCCTGGTGAGGCCGCGGTCTCCGGAATCGCCTGCAGACGAAGTCACCTGGCGTCCATCTGCACATCACTTGCAGCAGTGAGGCCTGCTGACAGCGTCTGGCAGTGTCGGCAACGTGCCAGACAGCTATCTGGAGTCCTGCTCACCGCAGGTCGCCGACAGGAGGGGCGACGCATCGTCTCCGAGGTCGCCTCAGCAGCAGTGAGACCCCACTGGCCGTCTTCTTAGGCTTCAACTAGATTGCGAACAACCTATGCTGAGACAACGCCCATGACGTGTGATCTGGTACCGCTTCCGCACTGCGTGCCTGTGCCCGCCGTGAGCCGCTAGTGCATGGGTTCGACCATGAGAATATGTGTTTATGTTGCTTTTACTATTGTTTATACGTTGAAGTGACGAATTGTTTATTTTTCGCAAGCCTCCGCTGTCCGGTTGCCTGCAGCTCCATGCAACGCCAGCTGTACTGTTGTTTTAATGTTGTCTCTCCGCTCAGCTGTGCTGTTGCCTCTCCGCTCATAACAACCTATGCTGAGACAACGCCCATGACGTGTGATCCGGTACCGCTACCGCACTGCGCGCCTGTGCCCGCCGTGAGCCGCTAGTGCATGGGTTCGACCATGAGAATATGTGTTTATGTTGCTTTTACTATTGTTTATACGTTGAAGTGACGAATTGTTTATTTTTCGCAAGCTTCCGCTGTCCGGTTGCCTGCAGCTCCATGCAACGCCAGTTGTACTGTTGTTTTAATGTTGTCTCTCCGCTCAGCTGTACTGTTGCCTCTCCGCTCATATATGACACCCTCTATATGAATGGCACCACTGATTGTCACACCCACTGTCCGTATTGTCCGTAGTGGTGTCTGAGCAGTAATCGCCACGCACTTTCAGAATGTGGATCGCTCATGATTGTTCAATTACAATACAATACAATACGCCCATGTTCATACAGCGTGCAGAATCCAGATTCTATTGAGGAGAGTTGAGCCAAGTCACCATAGGCTCGGGAAGAGAGCAACGTGGAGGCCCACTGCCCCTTCCCCGGCCCCCACTGGGGGCGCCAGCCACTAACTTTTGACTGGATGTCAAGAGCGTCGCCACGAGGGGAACGAGTCGCCGGCCAGCCAAGGTAGCCAACGGCGTGTGAAGGTTGCCTGACCTCGAGGAAACTGAGATGGCACCAACGGAGGTTTTGTTAAGTAGGCGACCAAAATTCGAGCGGCAGCAGCCTGGGCACCTTCACAGATAGCAGTGCCGCGTATCAGGGCGCCTTGGACGTTGAGCTGGGCGCCGATCATCAGGACGCCGGGGGAATATGACCCAATATCCCTCGTAAAGATGTGCCTCGGAAGGGAGACCCAACCATAAAACTGAAAGCTCGCCGTATTTTATCCACTATTTTTCGAGCAGTCCATAGATTTCCGTCCTCAAAAGTGCGGGGATATTCCCCAGTGTTTGAGTTGGATCAGGATGGGACTATAGTAGCGTTTACACCGACAGGAGATTCCCATTGCCGGCTGTGGGAAACTACTGTCGGTGTAAACGCCATTCATATTTCCTGCGTCACCCCTGTGGGGACGCCCTTACTCCATGGTGCCGAGCTTATCAATTTGGATATCAATGGAATCAAAATCTCTTATCGATCGATGAAGAACTAAATTACCCCGACCCGGAGAGCGTCTTTGGAATCAAAGCAGTAGCACATGACGCAAGACTTCAGGCAAATAAATCCTTCTTGTCTGAAATAAAACATTTGTGTATTGATAAGCACGTTTTATAAGCAATGGTAGCAAGATTCTCCATGTATTTAGTTAAAGTGATAATTTAGTAGCAGATACTTACCGTCGCATTTCGTTTTTTTTATTTAATAATTTATATTGTCAGAACTAGCAACATGTCTCTTCACTCAACAATAATTACAAAAGTGAAAAGGAAATGATAGATTGCTTATATTTTGGTGAAACTAAAAATTAATTCAGCACACATTTTTTTTACAGCGTTGAAGTCCAGCTCCAAAGGACAGCTGACGATCGTAGCCGAGCAGGCTGTTTGGTACTTCTTCACTATTTCTTAGAAGTACCCGTTGGCACCGATAATGTCTCACATAATAAGCTATTGGAACAAAAATATGCATGTTCTTCTAATTATTCTCCTTCCACACTTTAAATAAATACTTTTGAAATGCATTTACTAATAAATTTCACAAAAACGGCTTGAAATTTTACAACGTCAAAATACTTATTCCAATTTCCATCATGAAACCACCACTATATTACTTGCTTACAGAGCCGTGCGCACAGTGCGCGCAGTTTTATCGTGACGTCAGAGGGTGCTTCCTCAGTGGCGCCCCCTGGCGGGGAACGCGTGCAAAAAGTCCAGCTCTTAGGCATGTCCAACAATCACACAGCGGCATGCAACGGCGGACGACGCACAGCGAAGAATAGTCAACAAAACAAATTTAATGCTTGGAGTGCATAAGTTTTGTGACGTCATCAACTTTAAACCTGTTAGCAATGAATCAGAATGAATCATGAACTCAAAATTACCTTTGACTCCTGAAAAAAAAAAATTGAGTAAGATTTTGCTGTTGATTTTGTTGTTGAATTTCAATATGAATACCAATGATATTTTATTTTTGAAGCAAACTATACCATTTTCCCTTAAACTTTGTTACGTCATTTAGCTGCGCAGAAATAAAACAAGTTGTAAAAGTGGCAAAGTACAGATTTGGCGCAACTTCTTCAAAAAATAGCGCAGGCGACGGCCGTGAAGGACGCTGAGCAGGGTTACCAAAGCTTGGGATTTGTCCCAAGATCTTGGGATATTGAACCCGACCTTGGGACCTTGGGATTCAACAGCAAACCTTGGGATTTGTCCCGAGCTTACGACTCCCGCTAATTTTAACACATTTTTTTTTTAATTATTGGAAAAAGCAAAAGTATTAACCCGCGAGTTGCTGGGGGGGGGCGTTAAACGCCCCCACTTTTTTCGCCGGGCCATAGCATAAAAACGGCGCGCCGCAGGCGCGCCAAATTTTGGGTACCTGTAGGGAATTGATTGAAGCTTATTGTGACAAAGTTTCAAAAAAATCGGTCGGAAAATTTTTGAGATATCGAGGTTTTAGTGACGTCATGATTTCTGAGTTTTCGACCAAAAACGGCATATGTTCAAAAAATCATATAAAATCACAGAATAGACATACAGACATGCCGTAAACGCCATAAGACTGCCAATACCATGAGCAATGAAATGGCTATCTTCCATTATTGATTATCGTTCCACATTTTCCAAAATCTTGCACTGAATCTTGGCAATTTCTCGTGACTACTTCACGACCATGATACATGCATTACTTAAATTGAACTTTTTTAGCCAAACACGTACACATATGATAAAATGAATGTCACCATCGTGTTCTACGCCCCAAATTACCCATAAAACATGTGTCACAGGCTGCGAATATCAGTTTTTATTTTCGGGGATATGTGCCTGCCCGGTTGACCTGACCTTGACCCTGACCTATGCTTGACTGACCCCTGCATGGAGCTGACACTCTTGTAGGCCTTATATGATGGATTGTGCACCGTTTTGACAGAGTTTATGACGAGAGGCGCCCATTGCGAAGTCCTGAAGTCCATGCTACTGAAAGCCCGATTTCAGGTGTTTGACCTGACCTTGACCTGACCTGTGACCTCCAACTTCAACTTTAAAGTACTCATCTGAAGCGTCTCGTCGCGTTCTTTCGTTTGCCGCCTCGTGCGTTTCGCTGCGCCTATTGGTTCTCGAGTTATCGGCTGGGGGCGTTTAACGCCCCCCCCCAGCAAACGGTGGGTGGCGAAATACCCCAGCAACTGCCGGGTTAATAAAGACCAAACAAAGGAATCAGGAACACATCTATCACAACTTAATTGTTGTTTTTTGTAAACCGTCCTTTTCGGACGAACACAACCGAGCGTTCTTTCGTTTGGTTTCACTGTACCTTACCAAGCAACCAACGAAGCACGAAAGAAGCGCTAGTTCCAAAAAAGCGCTAGTTTAAAACTATTGTTATAATTCCTATCGTAAACCATCGGACGCTCAACGATGCATTGGCATAGGTCAACATTCATTCATTTTGATTCATCATTCTGTGATCATCTCGCGGCTCGGTTCGTTATTATACCTTGTGTTGTACCTATTGTTGATATTTTTGTGAGCTGTCCCAATATTTGTTCGGGTTATCGATGCTAGTCAAGAGCGTACATTTTGGATGGTTTTGCCGCCAGACTGAAACCGCGTGAAACGGGAAATAAACGTAAAACCCAGACAGGTAACTTGCTGTGTGTCTGTACCTATGCCTGCGTGTGTAACTGTGCCGAATGCAAGTTATGTTAACGATATTGATTTATTTAGTCAACCAAAGATTTGAAAATACGTCAAATACACTTTATTTGCTCTATATTTGGTTTCTATAGACCTTGGGATGCACATTGGGCTTTGATCCTGTCGACCTTGGGATATGGAGCTCGATTTTGGGAAATTCGCGCGGCGATCTTGGGATTTAGAAAAATTCCCGTTGGTAACCCTGACGCTGAGGTCGTTTGTGAAAGTCGACAGCGCTACGGTTAGGTCGAGACCCGAGTATTTTTCACCTGCCGTGTGTTTGAGACTCGCTGACTGCTGCACATATTGTATTTCTTTTAAAGACCAAGAGCCTCTGCTTCGTGGGTGCTTCCACTGCCGCTTCGGCTTCTGTGAAACTTAAAAGCACATCAAAATGGCCTGTGGTCCTAAGGCTATGATCGGTCCATCAATTTTGAACTCTGATCTTTCTATGCTCTATGATGAGTCAGAAAAGATGATAAATTCAGGCGCAGACTATCTTCATCTAGATGTGATGGATGGTCATTTTGTGCCAAACCTGACGTTTGGGCATCCTGTTGTGAAATGCTTACGACAGAAGATCCCCAAATCATTTTTTGACATGCATATGATGGTTGAAAACCCAGAAAAGGTTAGTATATAAGATAAGCTCAGTGCACTATCACCTATTTGCCTTAGAAGTTAGTGCACTCTGGAAGGTGTTGTGCTTTCTGCCAACAAGTGGCAATCCCACAAAGAAGGAGGCTGATCTGACTTCATTCTTAGACAAGTTGTATGCTGATATTTTGTCTAAAAAATGATCAGTATCTGTGTCATTTAGGTACCTGATTCAAATAGCAATGAATGAATAGGCGCCCATTGTATTTGTGTGTGTTATGTGTTCTGCAGTCACCTAGGTACATTCTGTTCACCAGTGGGTGGAGGCCATGGCTGATGCTGGTGCAAACCAGTACACCTTCCACATCGAGGCCTCCAAGGATGTTCCAGACCTCTGCAGGAAGATCAAAGAGGCAGGGATGAAGGTGAACATTTGTACATGTGTTTTTCAATAGCGACTCAGTCTTATCTGGTAGTAAAGTTAATGACTGAAAATAATTTCTTAATTCAATGAACTCAAGTCTCAATGAACAGATGAAATGCAAAAATTATAATCCAGGGTATGCTGATATGGCTCTCTAGTTCTCTACACAGTACACACTTGTAAATGGTACCTGCCAGAACTGCTTTGATCCTGCCATGCTTCATTAGGTACTTAGTTTCACCTTGTTTCAGTCCACCACCAGATAACAACTACCCAGCACCCACACCCGTCCACCCCGCCCACCCTGTCTCGCAGGTGGGCATCGGCCTGAAGCCGGGTACCGACGTGAGCGTGGTGCTGCCGTATGGCCCGCTGGCCGACATGCTGCTCGTCATGACGGTCGAGCCCGGGTTCGGCGGACAGAAGTTTATGGCCGACATGATGTCCAAGGTGGAGCGGCTGCGCGCCGAGTTCCCGCTGGTCAATATCGAGGTGGACGGCGGAGTCAGCCCGGCCAACATCGACCAGTGCGCCAAGGTGGGTCATGGGGGGGGGGGGCATTGACGACCGACCGGCATCTGAATTCTGAAACTTTATCGATGTGTCGCTATCCGGCACGTTCCCTTGTGCGCTTGAAAACCCTCGACTTTTTACGTCACCCTCCCGTGTCAGCTAACCCGAAGATATCGCGAGGCATCGCATGTCAATATTTTTCGCATGTCGGTTTAACATGGTCCAAACGTTGCCGTTCAAAGTGTATCTGAAGCTAAAAGTCGTCATCACGGCGCTTCATCTCTCAAACTAGCACGCCGCTCTTCAGTGTCCCTCGGGTGCTACCGTCACCATCATTTAACCCTTGCCTCTCGTGTTCGTTCCAGGCCGGCGCCAATATGATCGTCTCCGGCAGCGCGGTGGTAAAGTCGCCGCAGCCGGCAGAGGTCATCAGTCAGCTGAAGCAGGCCGTTCAGAAAGTGTTCCCCGAGTGACGTCATATTACCCAGCGTGACGTCAGCAGGGGTGGTGCAGACGGCGGGCTCCAGCACGGCTCTATTCCATGTTCCGCTGGTGGATAGGCGGCGACTGAGAGGATATCGGGTGGACAGGTATGTTTTGCATCGGTTTTCACGAATAGATACTAGGTCAAGTGATGGGAGCACGGAACAGTGCCGGGTAGCGAAGCTGGTGATACCAAAGTGTTCCATGATGGACAAAATATTTCCGGTCTGTAAGACAGGAGGAGCTTGTCATTGTTAAGACGTTCGTCAGTGTCGTGTCGAAAATGAGTATTCAACATTATTTTTAGCAATTTTATGCTGGCTTGTGTTCTAAGCGGTGTATTTGTTTTTGGAGAAACATTCCAAGCGTGTTGCATGACGAATTATGATGGTGATACTCAAGAGCTCCGTTTACATCCACATTAAATACTATTTGTATCCGTTTATATTTCATGTTATTGGCATACGTGACTCAATATACACTTATTGCTGATGACTTCACCGGCGAATTGGATGAGCATAATGGAATGAGAAGGAAAAGTACACCACCTTGCAACGCGCTGTCAGAGGAAACAGCCCTCCATTCCACACATATTTCGTAACACGCACCTTCCAGCCTGACGTCGCCCACAGTATGTGCTAGGCACCAGCAGTCCGCAGTACCGTAACGTCACGAACCGAACCCCCCTCCGCCGCCCGCTCACCACGAACTGAAGCTGCCAAAATCGTACGACGCCTCCTTCCGCTTTTTGTTCGGCTGCGGCGGCGGCTCGTCGGCCTTCCTGTAGGCGAGGAGGGAGAGATTCACTGTGGGCCGGAGCCGAGAGTCCCAGACAGCGTAGTGCATGGGCGATGGACGTATGAATATTCAACATTATCAGCCTGCGGCATGAGTGAGTGAGTTGGCTAGGACAGGGCCGCTAACCGGCAGCATCACATTGGAAGGGATGTGCAAATCGGATGGTTCAATTGACGCCATTTGACTTTGTTATAGACTGCCAGTGCCGTCCCATGCCCCCGAGCGGGGTGAATTGGTACGCCGGCCAG